GAGAGTATTAAAAGCCCAACCTGTTTAAAATAGTCAGGTAATTAAATAATTCAAGTTGACACCATACACCTGACATTGACTATTTAGGGTTTAGCCACATGACTATTCACATTTATTTGCCCGAGCGAAATCTTTATTATTTATATATGCTCACCCGAGACTATTCACCCTAAACACTCACTATTCATCCATGTTACTATTCACTTCCGTTATAGGCAACGGAGGAAATTGACTACAAAATTGGGTGGGTGTTCTGGAGTGTGGCGATATAGTGGGTGGTGGCTTGGGGTCTAGGGTTAGCTGGACCTGGAGGGCTGGGGGAAGAGAGGGAGATATTTTTTAATAGACAAGCAGAAGAAATAACTTAGAAACGTATAAGAATTAGACTAATTTTAATTTAACCATCTAAACATACCTTTGAATCAGGCCTAAGACCTAATTTTTTCACGTGTTCTAAATTTAACCAGTTCGAATTTTGTGTGTGCGCCAAAGTTAAGAAAAGGGATGGGTTTTTTCGCACAAATTTTCAATGTGCTATATGAATTCGAACATGAGACTCCTGTTTTGCATATAGTAGTTGTGGTGGGACATGGAATGTGGGTTAAGGGCTAACATCGACAATGGCCAAGTTTGATTTGAGTAGCAGGAGACCATTTTCTTGGAGAGCTCTTTAGCATTTACTTTCTGCTTCGAAGTTCAAAGCTTAAAGCCCGTTTGATAATCATTTCATTTTTTAGTTTTCAATTTTAATTTTTCAAAATTGAAAACTTGTTTGGTAACTACAGTTCTGATCTCTTAGACCACATGAGTCCAATATATTGTGGTCACCCACCGTTGAATATTAATCGGTTCAAAAAAGTTTCTTAAAAGGATTGCAAGAGTGAGTGAACTGTTGAATTTACATACAACGGTGAGTGACCACAAATCTCTTGGACCCTTGTAGTCCAAGAGAAATGGAAATTTCAGTTTTTTAAAAACACTGAAAACGATTAACATATTACATTGTGACTCAAATAATTTAACTCATTTATCACATAAACCCCTTAATATAGCCAAACTCATTATATAACAATAAAATACCCATTTTAGACATTGCATTTATACTTAAATGTATTTTGATCACAGGACAATGAGCGCTCAAGTGGTTAAGAGCATAATTTTACTACTTATTGAGGTTGAAAAGTAGGTAAAAAAAAATAGCGTCTACAAGTCACAATCAAAGTTAACAAAACTCAATGAATATCCAACAACGACGACATTGGTAGTTCAACCCAAAACTGGGGCTATATAATAAACCGTGAAGATATTTACATATTACAGTTGAAACAAAAGTTGTTAAAAAACACATGTTAAAGAGAATGAGAAGAAAAAAATAGAGAGAGGAAGAAGAAGATAAAAAAAACACAGAGAGACAAAGAAGAAGAGAAAAAATAGAGAGAGGATGAAGAAGAGAAGGAACCAGAGAGAGAAAGTTGATGAAGAATATACGGAGTCTCACATCGAAAACTTAACAAAATAGAAAGTTCCATATAATAAATGGTTCCACTCCTAATAACATGGAGACCTTTTGTATAGAACCTCACACATGCTAAACATGTAGTTAAGTTTGGAACAAAATCGATGTTGCTAGTAGTGGGCCAAGGGTCCGTCCCTCTGAAATCTTAAAATGGTATTAGAGCGGGCCGGTTGACTGGGCTTGATTAAATCCAAATCAAACAAAAAAACCCCATATTGAACCAAAAATCAAACCAACCACAATTTTTTAAAATAAATAAAAAAGTGACCGATGTGGAATTGATTGGATGTGTGGCTCACTAAGAAGTGGTCCCACGTGAGGAGGAGTGTTGAAGAATACACAAAGTCCCACATTGGAAACTTAACAAAATAAAAAGTCTCATATAATAAATAGTTCCACTCCTAATAACATCAAGGCCTTTTGTATAAAATCTCACACCTGCTAAACATGTAGTTAAGTTGGGGATAATATTGATGTTGCTAGTAGTGGGTCAAGGGTTCGTCCCCCTTAAATCTTAACAAAAGTTATAGAGAAGAGATGAGAGTGTGCGTAAGAAAGAGGAAGATAGAAGGAAGAAAAAGAAAAAGAAAGTGTGTGTGCATTAGAATAACTATATTGCCCTCCCGTTGTGTCCCATGTGAGGCTCACGTGTGAATTTTGATGGAACTTTGGATGAAATCATTTGAAATCTAACGGTAGGAGTGAAATTAGTGAGTTCATATAATTTAGCAGATTTTTTAGTTCAAGGAAGTAAGTTCTATTAGGGTTATAGTTTAGGGAATAAACGGCTAAAAATCCAAACTGAAGAAAAAAAGAAAAAAAAGTTCACTCCCTATTTCCATCATCATCGTGAATACTTAAATGCTCAACCCCTCTTATATATTTTTTATTCATTGTTGGTGGGGTATAGCCGCGCGGCTATACTCCACATATTAAGTAATATAATTCATGAAGTTAGTTAAAATATTTAATACTAATTATTCACTATAGAAATAATAATTTAAATATAGTTACTAATTTAACTAATTTAACTAATTAAATGAGGCAAATATATTATTTAATTACTAAAAAAAAAATAATAAAATAACCAAAACATACTAATTTTCTAGATGGCTAAAAAATAGTATAGCCGCACGGCTATACGCTCCGTTTTTTAAAGAATAATAGTATAGCCCGTACTCCAACCTTATTTCACATAATCTAAGCACCACAATCAATCCAAAAGACTTAAACTGAAATAAAATATACATATATGCAACAGATCTAACCTTATCTACAAGAGGATGAAAGAAAGAGAGAGAAACAGAGAATGAGAAGAAAAAAACAAAGAGAGGAAGAAGGAGAGAAAAAAACAGAGTGAGGAAGAAGGGGAGAAAAAAACAGAAAGAGGAAGAAGAAGAGAAAAAAAATAGAGTGAGGCAGAAGAGAAAAAAGAATAGAGAGGAAGAAGATAAAAAAAACACAGAGAGACGAAGAAGAAGAGAAAGAACCAAAGAGAGAAAGTTGTTGAAGAATACACAGAGTCTCACATCGGAAACTTGACAAAATAGAAAGTCCCATATAATAAACGGTTCCACTCCTAATAACATCAAGGCCTTTTGTATAAAAGGCCACACTTGCTAAACATGTGGTTAAGTTGGGGACAATATTGATGTTGCTAGTATTGGGGACAATATTGATGTTGCTAGTAGTGGGCCAATGATCCGTCTCTTTGAAATCTTAACAAAAGTTGCAGAGAAGAGATGAGAGTGTACGTGAGAAAGAGGAAGAGAGAAGGAAGAAAAAGAAAAAGAAAGTGTGTGCATTAGAATGACTATATTGCCCTCCCGTTGTTTCCCATGTGAGACTCACGTGTTAATTTTGACGGAACTTTGGATGAAATCATATGAAATCTAATGGTACAAGTGAAATTAGCGAATTCATATAATTCGGCAGATTTTTTAGTTTAAGGGAGCAAGTTCGATTAGGGTGATAGTTCAGGGGGTAGACGGCTAAAAATCCAAACTGAAAAAATAAATAAATAAATAAATAAAAGTTCACTCCCTATTTCCATCATCATCATATAAATATTTAACACGAATACTTCAACCATAAAGATATTTTTTGTTTTTGTGGTCTAAGATCAAGGAGTATTAAGTTGAACAAATAAACAAAGACAGCATATCAGTACAAACATGGAATACTTTTGATTGTTGGAGTGCTTCATTTTCCTGTCAGAAAGTCAGTCAGTAGGCTCCAAACTAAAAAAATACAAAAGAGATTAAACAGGTAGAGAACCATAATAGATGAAACAACTACATGGATATATATATTATTATACAGCTCTTGATAAGAAGATAATTCAACTCACTTTCAATTCAAGGCAGCTTTGCCCTCCCCATAAAACTATAAAGAAGAAGAGGTAAATATTCAGAAAATCGTCAGATTTTCATTACGAAATTGTATTAAGAAGGACATAAAGAAGATTAGGCATTGTTAATCATATAATATGATGATGGGAGTAATAGTCTAATAGATCATTTAGACAGTTTAAATCCCAAATACTTGATTAAGAAGAACAATATGAATTGTTGATGCAATTATTTAATTTTGACAATGATTAAATTCAAATTCAAAGAACCACTAAAACAAATTGACTTTGCTTAATTCATATTTGAAAGAAACTGCCATGAATACAAATACACAGGAATCTACCTTGATGGAAAAATGCTAAATCTCTCATTTAAAATCCAAAGATTTCATGGCATCTGCCACACCTTCAATCTTCGTTTTCTGATTAATCTTGGCATCTCCCACAGCAATGTGATTACAGTATTAGCTAGGGGAAATCTGAAAAGCTGATAACAAGTACAAATGTAAGGTAAGGCATGTACCATGTAAAACCCACGGGCTAAGATCTCCTCTCTTTTCTCATGCCAGTTTTTGACTCCTGAAAAGGAAGTTTGAATTGAGTCATCATTAATTAAGCAGTGTGATAACAGTAAAAGGCAATCTAAGAACAGAAAAACATGAAGGCTGAATCTATATATAAATATATAGTTGTATGAATGTATGTATGTATGTTATGTATGTAGGCTGAATCTTTAGTTCCATTCTTTTACCTCTTCAAGCCCACAGGGAAGACGCCCGGCAGGCAATTGATCACCATAAAATTCTGTAGCACCGGCCTCACAAACAACGCATGAATATTGAGGGTTTGTCCTTATGAAAATCCCAGCAGAGCACTGGCTACATTTGAAGTAAAATCTGGATTTTGATTCAATTGCCACTCAGCCCACAAATCCATGCCACTTGTATAATTTGAGTATTTTTAAGCCTAACAATGTTTAGATAACAATTTTCATTTGTTTACACCATAATCAACCAAGCGTATTTGGCACTAGACGACTGATACCTAGGCAGACATGCCAACTGCCAAAGAAAAGAAACACTCCAAAAAGACACACAAACAAACCCTTAGAAGATGAGTGACGTCATCATTTTCTCAGCCTATCGAAGGAAGGCCCGCTTTTGAAGCGGTAACCACCTGCTGAAGCTCCCGACTACAAAATCTAGAACCACAAACACATGTCACCTCCACAAGGTTTGCACAAAGTCCCACATCGAAACTTTGTGCAATATTCTCATTCTCACCTCCCTATAAATAGGGAACAATGCCCGATTAAAAGGGGAACTACTTTTCACATTTACTGTTACTCTACCAAAATTACCACATATAGTCGCTGACTTAAGCATTGGAGAGCCTTTGGCAGGTACCACACTGGTGCCCGAAGCTTGACGATAGCTTTTTCCTTATTGTCTTCTGTAGGACACCTTCGTGCCTAAGGTTCATAACCCTCTCGCCCTGCTGAAGATCCACCACTTTGTCCTGTCTATCACTCTCCAAGTCCTACCCACTGAAGGCATGGGTACTTGGTGGACTTTGGTGTTCTCTTTCAGAATTATCAGACATCTACAAACACAAATCAACACGAACTAATGGGCATGCGAAGATTGAAAACATAAAACAGCTTTCCTAGAAGCATGGCATACCTAATCTCCCCACTCTACACAAGTTCATCCAAGTTCATCGATGTTCATGCACAAATTCAACGAAAAGCAACATTTCAATCCAACATGAAGGACCAAAACAGGTCATACCTTGTTATCTCCGCCACACCCAATAGTCAGAAATCGCCTATGTCGCAGAACACTTGCCGTGAATTGCCTCCGCCGCAGAACACTTGCTGTGAATCACTTTCGCAGGAAATCTCCTAAGCCGCTACTCTCCAAATTTCTTGAAGGTGAACGGTTGCCCATTACCTCCCAACCACCCCATTAGGAACGATACCTAGGTTACAACAAAAAACCCTTCGATTTTCCTGACACGTGGCAACGCCAGCTGACGTCACATCTTCTGTTTAGACACCCTCTGTGCCAAACGTAGAAGGGAACTCACACGACACGCGTCGTGATGTCAGACCTTCCGTTCGGCACCCTCTGTGCCGAACATAGAATGGGACTTAAGAGACACGTGTAGTGACATCACACCTTCCGTTCGGCACCCTCCGTGCCGAACGCTCAAGGTGACTCATGCGACACGAGTTGTGAAGTCACAAATTTCGTTTGGCACCCTTCGGGCCGAACGTAGAAGGGGACTCCCGTGACACGTGTTGTGACGTCACACCTTTCGTTCGGCACCCTTCATGCCAAACGTAGAAGGGGACTCACGCGACACGCGCAGTGATGTCACACCTTCCGTTCGGCACCCTTCGTGCCCAACGCGCAATGTGCGACACGTGTTGTGACATCACACCTTCCGTGCCGAACATGCAAAAGGTCGTGCGATAAGCAGGCCGACGTTATGACTACCGTTCGACATCCCCGTGCCAAACCCACAAATAGGCGACATGAAGGCTAACGTCACGCCTACCGTTGGGCGCTTTTCGTGCCGAACATACAGATGAACATGCGCCTGCCGTAGGCATCACCCTTCGACACGATATACCATTATCTTCGCCCACCCCACCCAACCACTAGATGGGTGGAGATTTCAAAAAAAAAAAAAAAAAAAAAAAAAAAAAAAAAAAAAAAAAACCCACCCCCCCCCAGAGATAAAGATACTCAAAGGGAAAATGTGTAAGGATTATAAATATACGTGCAGACTGATTAAATAAAGACTCTGGATTCTACACATGAAAAGAAGGAACTTCTCCTAGTAAGTAAGCTTCCTTCGGATGTAGAAACACCAGGAGGCAGTGAGAGATTCCTAGAAAAGACTCTAGTTTTCTTCCTCTGATTCATCACACTTGAAGGACCATTTGATCCTCCTTTCACAAACTGATTAGCTTGATGAACAGGTAATACCAGAGGAGCACTTGGAAATTGAGGTAAATAAGTAGATAATGCAAAAAAAACAACATGCTGAGGAAGTATAAACTACAACAAACAGTTGCTTTTTATAGAACCTAAATTAAGAGAGTACAATCCATACTCAAACAACTCAAAGTAGAAACAGAGATAAGCAAACCAATTTTTCAACTGATTTAATAAAAAGCCCTAAACCAAAAAGGCAACGCAGACATATTAACTTGTAAAGAGACACATGTATATTGTCTGTACTTATGTATGTAAAATAGATACGAAACAGAAGAGAGTGTAAAAATAAAATTAATTTCATTATTCTTAAAGGCACCAGTGAGCAGAGTAGCAGTAAACTCCAGTAAATTAAAACCAAACAATATTACCAGGATTAGTTTGACAGTAAGAAAATCACCCATATCAATATATATCGAAGTGATACATAACCAAGTAACAAGAACAAAGTACAAGGATTTATGGTCATGCTAACAATGTGGTGGGCCAACAGTGAGATTATATTGAAAACAAAAGGAAAGAGAAAAGAAAATAAAGTAAGAGGAACATACCCGATGTTCCCATTGCAAATTTGCAAGTAGATACAAAGGAACCTAAATACAGGTCAACAGACAAAAGTTCCCAAGAAATAAATAGCGTCATAACAAAGAAAAGGAGCCACCAATTCCAACCAAAAGAAAGATTAATCAGTGAGAGGAAACCAACTCTAGATTCTAATAAATAAATACAAAACCAACTCTACATCTCGAATAAAGATCCGATGCTCTAAATCGAAGAGAGAAAAGCATGCATACCTTGGATACAACATATTACATAAAAGACTAGCAAGCGAAACATGGCACAACCCCCCGCCAACAACCAGAAACCAGGGCCAATTTCGGACTTGATAAAGCAAAAACCAAGATCCATTCCTAAATAAAGTTGTAGAACTGGAAAAGTCCAATCGTTCCCCCATCTACCAATACACAAAAGCCAAACAAACCAACTATTAATTGCATATGTAATTATAGTAGGTAATAGAGAAGGACAAGAAGAACTAACAAATTACCAACAATTGAAAATTACAAGGTGGAAAGGAGGAGGAGGAGGAGAAGATAGATTGATAAAGGAATTGGGGTTGGAAAGTGAGAAAGAAGAAAGGAAAGAAAAGAGTTGGGGTTGATAAATTACCTATCTATTCTCCAAACCCAAAACCACAACAGCCCATCTACCCCGAAATCACCACCTCACTCACTCATTTCAATGATCTCTTCCAAACCCCAACAATGTTTCATCTTCACTGCAACATTGACCACAGAATTCCCCTACTTCTTGGCACACTGACATTGAATGTTCATCCTTACCATTACCCACACCTACAATTGGGAGTTATTCGCCCTATATCCAGTCCATATTCCTCATCGGTTCTCTTGGTTCGCAAGAAGGATCACTGGTGGAGGTTATGTGTCTATTACCTAGCCTTGAATACAGTCACCACCAAGGACTGCTTTCCCATACCCTTCATTGATGAATTGCTAGATGAACTCCGGGGGGCTACAATTTTTTTGAAGCTAGACCTCTGTTCGGGTTACCATCAAATATGCACGCATCCAGACGATGTACACAAAACAGCCTTCCGTACCCACGATGGACACTATGAGTTTCTCGTAATGCCCTTTGGTTTGTCTAACGCTCCCTATACCTTTCAATCACTAATGAATGATATTTTTCGCCTTTATTTAAGGAAGTTTGTGCTCATTTACTTTGATGATATCTTGGTCTTTAGTAATTCGTTGGTAGATCACGTGGCTCACTTAACTACTGTGTTTGAAACTCTCCGACGCCAACAACTGCTCGTAAAACACTCTAAGTGTCTTTTTGGGCAACTGCAGTTGGAATACTTGCGCCATTATATTTCGGCCAATGGTGTAGCTGTGGATCCCACCAAAATCGAGTGTGGTTGTTCATGGCCATCCCCAGCCACCATTAAAGCCTTACGTGGGTTCCTTGGCCTTGTGGGTTACTATCACAAATTTGTTCGCCACTTTGGACTGATAGCTCAACCTCTCACACAGTTGCTGAAGAAGGATAAATTTGAGTAGACTCATGTTGCCTTCACGGCCTTTGAAGCACTAAAGGCAACCCTGTCTTCCACTCTAGTACTCTCTTTATCGGATTTCTCTAGGCCATTTACAGTCGAGTGTGATGCCTCACAAAGGGGGCTCGGAGCCGTTCTCTCCCAGGAAGGGCACCTAATCGCCTTCCTTTCGAAGCCGTTATCTGGCTGCCACTTGTCTATGTTCGTTTATGAAAAAGAAATGATGGCCGTCAAACCCCAAAGCAACAAAATACTTAGCCAGAGGCTAAACTAACCCAACGAGTTCTAGGAACTCCTAATAAGTCATCAACTAATAAAGAATCAAGCCAGTTTGAAGCAACATCAAGCACACACAGCCCAAGATCAAGATTATGGCTCCACTTAGCCAAACAATCCGCCACAGCATTCCTTTCCTTGTAGATATGGCTCACAGAACAAACACCAATTTGTCTCACCATTGCACAACAGCTAGCAATTAAGGAAGCTAGAGGATGGGATCCAAGCCTAGAATGTTGCTAAATAAGGAGTACAGCCGTAGCAGCATCCATTTCCACAGTGAGCCTATGAATGCCTTTAGCAATAGCAAGTTGCATACCAAAAAAAAAGCCCCAAATTTCAGCTTCCAGAATCTACCCCTTACCAAGGTTCACAGCAAAACCACAGACCCAATCCCCTAAGGAATTACGAATCACTTTTTCGACACCAATAGAGCCTGAAGCACACCTGCTAGACCCGTCCACATTAAGCTTAAACTGTCCCAGCTCAAAAGGTTCCCAAGCTAGAAAAAGAGGAATTTTATGAGCCTTTGTATCCCCAACCTGGCTAATCGTATACCACTCCCTTACAGCAGCAACAATAATCTTCTCAGGCTCATAACTGACCCTAAACCCTTATTATATTTTTAGTCTATGTAAAACATTATTTAAAATGCCTTAAAAAATAACTCACATGGATTATAGGATACATTTTAATTAAAGCTACATATTCTTTATTTATGTTATTCTCAAATTATACTACCTGATACATTTTCACTATTTTTATTTTTTGAATTTATTTTCCAACTAATCTACTAGACGCATTCTCGAATCCTGAAAATGCAAATTTTTTTTTTCATTTTCATTCTCAAAATATTTTCGGAAAACATTCTTCGACAACAGACGGGCCCTTATTGTTTTGTGTTGTTACTACCAATTGAAGTGAAAACATATTGTATTATAAAAAATAAAAATAAAATCATCTTTCAGAACAAAAATCCTTTGTTGCTTCCATTAGTAGCATATCACATTTACATAGACATATATCTCTGCAAGAAAAAGATATATGACCCAGCAAGTTAATCTTAAAAAGAAGCCCAATTCCCTTTTATTCAACATGTAGAAGCAGCTTTCCCATTAGCTTTGCTCCAAAGAATTCTTCCTATTAGGTCTTGTTCCTTGTATTGCTATGAGTTGAGAATTGAATTGGCAAACAATTTAAAGCTAACACTTGGGAAGGTCGCTTGGAGGTGGTAGAACAGATTCATTTGGGCCTTTGCCATTGTCCACCACAAATGCCATCTTAAGCCCCCATGTTGTGTGCACTTCAAGATGGCAATGCATAAACCAAACTCCTGCATACATATAAAAGGAAAAATATGGTTACATTGGAAACTTTCTTTCGTCATACAGTCCGACATGTTATGTTGTCAGACTCTCAATTAATAGATATAACATTTAGGTCGAATGTGTGATTAGATTCAGCCTGACAATATAACAAGTTATATATTTCATAAGAGGAAATTTGTCATGGTTTACCTGGATTATCAGCCCTGAATCTAATAGCAGTCCATCCACCAGATGGCACTCCTATTGTGTTCCTCTCAACAGGGTCAATAAGATTAAATCTTTTTGGATCCTTCTTTGGGTTGAAATTCCCCAATCCCCTCCCAACCTCAAAGAAATTAAACCCATGAAGATGAACTGGATGGTTTTCAGGGGCAATCATCCCAGTGTCTTGCAACACAAGCTGCACTGTAGAGTTATAAGCAAGTCTATAAAGCCTAGTCCCCTTCATGGTCTGCATATTCGTCGGCTGTGGACCCGTATAATTATAAGGATTCAGAGGGTTTCCGGGAAAATCATCGGTAAAAACTCCACTTATGTTGAAGAAATGTGCTTGAAGAAGTGAGATTTTGGGCATCACAAATGTGACATTATTGATATCTGCCACCACTCTGTTGCCATTGGCACATGAAGCACAAGTGTGAAGGCCAAGGCCAACAGTGAACAAAAGAGAGTGGTCAATTTTCAATGGAACCCTAGCAGGAAACTTGACTGAATTCAGGCTTCTGAGGGAATTTGTAAACTTTGTTGCAACTAGTGTGGCATTTTGAGGAGGTGGGGCTGTGAGGGTGGTCCTAGTGCTTTCGAGGGTGCCCATATAGTGCAAAGTAGCAGTGGCAGTTTTGTTGTCTACAAGGATGGTTGGATTGTCCATGAAAGGTGAGGCTGCAACCAAGTACTTGCCTGTGCCATGGTTGGTTGATAGAAGAACGTTTGTGGTCTGCCCTGGGGCTATCAGAACGGTGTCAGTTTTGAAGGGTTTTGTGTACACAGCATCAACCTCAACCACGGTTAGTTTGTGGTTGGCAATCTTGAAGAAGAGCTCTTCATTGAGCGCAGCATTGATGATTCTTAGCATGTATGTCTTGCCAGGTCTTACTGGTAATTTAAACCCTCCTGCACATATGCACATCATGTTTAAATTTGGTGATAATTGGTCAAAATAGTGTAGATGGCTGGAGTGATACAGGGAGACTACACAATGTGACAGTTGATGTGTCAGTTACTTAATAAGATTAATTGATCCGCATCATCAACTGTCACATTATATGATTAACTAATACGTCATTCTTGTACACGTATGTGTATTTACCTTGTGAGGAGCAGGTAGAGAGCGGGCCCGGATGGCCATTAATTGTGTGAGCATCAGAGACATTCGGGGCTGAGCCAGATTTCAAAGCCTGATTAATAACAGATTCCACATCTGATTTCCACCATTCACCTACAAGTTTACAATAATCATAAGCAATCTTACAATACTTGATGGATTATGAGAAATATGAAAGGGTACTTGGATCATGGGGGCACCTAAGATTACAACGACTTCTTTTTGGGGTGCAGGGAATGGGTATGGGACCCCAAGCTTGGGTAAGATGACCAAGGCGCCATGGACTGTGGCCCTGAGCCACAGGATGTGTGCATGCCACCAAAGTGTGCCCCTTTGCCCAGTGATGGTGAAGTTGTACACATAGTTTTGACCCGGTTGAATTGGACATTGGGTTATGTACGCCGGCCCATCAGCCCAACCCGTCCGCAGTTGTCGGATTCCATGCCTTTTTACGGAAATATTATTATTAGTAATAATAAAATAAATACTGAAAAATATAATAATACTAAGTAATGACGATTATTAACAATTGAAAACTCATATTTATCTATAGGAGTGAAAGCGGGAGACGTTACCAATGGATGCTAACGTTGTATTTGACGTGGTTGACCACCTTGATCAGCACTGTGTCATCTTCCCTAGCATATATGGTGGGCCCAGGGTACCTTCCATTGACTGTGACAATGGGCTTGCTTGAACATAATCTTGAGGTTTTCTTTTGCACCACCTACGAAACCCACAGGCGTGTTTGAGTCGAGTTCTTTTGCGCACATGTTTTCATCAAGTCAAAACTGTGACAACACACTTCCACAAGTTTGGTGGCTTCCTCAACCAAATCCCTCATGCTTTTCTGTTTGATTAAGTTTTGCTTATTTATATATAACAAGCCAATTATTATTTCTTTTAAAAATATTCTTTGGATTATGTTTAGATTTAAATCTTGGGGTTTTGAGGAATCCTATGCCAATTTTATCTATCTTCAACTTTTTTCAAACTCTTTAGATATTGACGACTTGAATGGTTGAACACTTGGTTGCTGTTTCTGTGTGAGAGACAAGCTGAGTTTAGGCAAGTTTTTATCAACATCAAGAATAATTAAGAAAATTAAAGGACGCATTAGTATAGTTGTTTGAAATAATTGCTCCATCATGTAAGGTTCTGGGTTCGAGTCTTAGTATCTGTGTAGTGTGTGTATGTGTGAGCACTAGTGTACGTACCGTGTTGCTCCCTGGAGAAGCCTTAATTTTCTTGTGCTAGTGGCTTATGGATAATGTAATATAATTATGATCATACAAAAACTCATCATTTAAAACTCGCAAGAAAGGCATAAGCTTTCCCTAATGTTACTGTTGCTCAAACATCAGTTTAGAGTAACTCATAGTTAAGAATGATATAAACCATACCCAGCAAACTAGACGCATGTAGATAACCTTCTGCATTTCTTGCTAGCATGCATGTATATATTGGATCAAATGAACCATTTCAAATCTCACCCGTATGTATTCAATGTGTTACATATATACAAGATAGGATCGTGAATATTCAATAATAAAGCATTTATTTCTACACTCAAGAACTCTTGCCGGCCATCTTCTTAGCTATATTAGATGTCTTAACCCTATGTCAATGAAAGAATGTGGATGCAGGGTGGCAACTAGCTACAGTTTACTCTAAAATAGATGCAAAACAAGGGGATTGATATAATTAACTCAAAAATTAATGTTATACTTACATTGAACTTGTAATGTCGAACCATGCATTCCACTGATGCTGGAAACAACAAACAAGCCACCAAAACCAAGGCACGAATCAAAGGCACCGTCTCCATTTTTCTCTCTCTTGATCCTTATAGCTCTCTCTCTCTCTCTCTCTCTCTCTCTGAGACCCTCAGTGTTTTTTTGTGTGTTCTATGTCGTAGTGCTGTGCTGCAATAGAAGCTATTGACCAAGCCAAATTTATAAAGAGATAAAAACTACGTAGTGCTGTGCTGCTGCCATGTCGTTTTTGCGTAGTTTGGTAGATGAAGGGATACTTGAGAATGAAGGTCTGCGTATAAATTAAAAAAACTTGTTTATACGACAGCAGCAGGCCAGGAACGTCTTGATCTTAATTATCTTGAGTCTCACACAAAGTAGTTATCTGTCAACTAAAACACTTGGTTTGATTTGAAGCCAGTGTATAAGGTTGATGTCAATTTCTTGAATTGGGCTGGGTGGTCAGATCAGATCAGCCACTGCATGGTTTGGTGGCCGTATTGGGTAAAGTACACCCAAACCCCAGCTAACTAATAACAAAAAAGTTGCTATCGATTTGCTTTTCCAACCATGGAAGCTCTCCGAGGTCAAGGGGATGACATACACAACAAGGCAACTGGCTCACACACAATCACCCACTTGTTTATTCCTTTTTTTTTTTTTTTTTTTTTTTACATCTATTTATTATAGGGGAAATAGCTTAATTTGTCTGATCATCAGTTGATCTATTCCATTTTTTTTAGAAGTGATAATCTAAACTACAATGGTAGAAAATTTCTCTCACACGCAAAAAACTATTATGCCATGGGGATTCGAGATTTTGAGATTTGAACTTGAATCATCCTATGTCAAAACGGACACTGGATATGACATTTGGACTACCAAAATGAAGGTTTGAATATCGAGCACACTTTTTAGGCTTTTCAGAATCGATAACAAATTGATTCGTTGGTTGTATTTCTAATTTGATGTGTTTAAACAAATTAATTAGGATGATCTTTCGTTACGAGCATAACTAACTAAATATGGTTCTTTAATATGGAAATTTTTTCCATATCCATTTTATAATTGGTGAAGAACGTGTGTGTGAATGTGGTGGGTGGACGATAGATACATAAAGGATGTTAACACGAACCATCTTTTTTTATAGTTGAGCGATGGTTGTCATTGGATTGCCAAATCAACCGAAAAGGTTTGCTTTCTGAAAGCTAAAGATTAGAGGGGTTGGTAACAGCTCATCTAACCTTGCATGAGTTGATTACGCACATGAAATTAACTCATATATTTCTTGTCATTTCCCAGTTTGGTCTTGTGTTTCATTTTCTTTCGTTTTTTCTTTCTTATTGGATAAAATCTTTGGTATAACAATTGTATGAGGTCGGCGTGCTAACGTGATACAACAAATTAATAAGAGAGTAGTTATTGACATTCCAAAAAGATTATTTTGCACTCCTCTTGTATCTTCATGAATCGGCAATTTAAAATCCGTTGCGAAGTGGGAGTAAATTTAAAGTTCTAAAACATGCATTTTTGGTTTTTTTCTTTTCCTTTTCATTGAGTCTTCTATCAATTCAACAATCTTTTATTTTTATTTTTATCTCTATTGATTGATTAATTAAATATATCAATGCCTTCCCTCTCATTATCAACGTCTCTGAGGCTCTTTGTTGTATTGTTCGACCGGCCCAGATCGATATTATCAAACAAAACGGATCAACCCATATTTTGAAGGCCATGGTTTGGATCAAAACTCTTAAGCCCAACCTATTTCAGAACTTGGCATATGCATGCATCAAACCAATGTTCACCTTGCTCAGTCAGAACTTGGCTGCACAATTCGTGATTTTTTTTTCTTTTAACAACTTATCGTGTGACATTAAAGTTTTATTTTTATTTTCTATAAAACGATACTTTAAACTATTCTAATGTATGGGGAGAATAATCAAACTCGAGTGCAACAGAGCTGGTTTAATATTCCTTAATCAATTGACCTAACTCACATTTGCCATGTGACACTAAATTTGACTTTCACATTGAAACATGTGGAAACAAAACATAAAGAATTCGAAGGAACGATAACTGCATTTGGATTTCATTTTCTTTAAAACAACATTGTTTCGAAGTATTTTTCTGGTAAAGTAGCAAGGTAGGTAGGTCAGAGCTGCCCTGAAGGCTCTCATCTACAATTTGTCTAAACTGAGGCTCTACAACTTTCTGGTGCGTCCCTGATTTGTCCAAGGACCAAAGGGTGTGTGCTTCACATTAACAAAGAGGGTGACTTTGTACAGTTGGCTGCAACCCAGCATTTGTCAAATGAATGGTTTTTTAGGAGCCAGCAATTTTGCCAAATATGTACAATTTCCTTTTATGTACATATGGTTGGCTACTTGACCAAGAGAAATTAAAGACGAATGAGAGATCTATGAAGCATAATCTACTGAGTTTTGGTTAAGCCAGAAGCCAGAAGTTTTTGTGGGTTCTTGAGTTGAGAAGGTAGCCTCCATCCTGGCCCTTTTTCTGTACAGCAACACAAGCACACTTGCTATTTTCAATCAAATAATCTGCGGTGTCTATGGCTTTGTTAGTCGTCCCTCGCCCGGCTCCAGGCCACGTATATGTTCTGGTTTCATAGGAGCAAACAAAAGAATTAATTAGCAAATAATATAGCTAGCTGAATAATCTGTTTTCACATATACTACATCTCAACAGCACTGTTAATTTGACCTAAAACAAAAAATTTAATAAAGTTTGATGGCACTTTAATTTCTTAGGAGTAGACAAAAGACATGTTTAGGGTACATTGGTGAATCGCATTATGTGACAGGTGAGAATTCAGTTATTACGTCAAGTACTTTGTATTATATAATTTGACACATCACTTATCACGTAATATGGATGCTAAGACATTGTAAAAACTAGATCACATAACATGTACAAGAAAACTCACCCTAGGATTTCCTTAGAAATTCTCCGCCGTTGCCCTATAATTATGATATCAATCCCAAGAGCATCGCTTTGATGTAGGATAGTGTTGGCTTTGTCCTTGCCATCTTCCTTTCCCATCCTCTCCGCACGCACACTCAGCTTTGGCTGCACACGCTTGCATGCATTCTTCATTTCTTCAAGAAAATCCACGCCCTCCTCTGCGTTGATCCCTTCCAAGGACATGGTGGCTATGGCCGTGGAGGCAAGGCTGGGTATTTTGAGCAGCGTCGTGAATGTGTTTCGCCACGTGTTTTGGTTCTCGACAGAGAAGAGGATCAATTCATCGTGTTCGAGCACTACATGAGCGAGCGCATATTGAAGCGCGCTCGCTGACTCTCGGGTTGGATCCGCCACCACCATTACTCGCCGTGCAAGCTTGGTTTCTTGGCCTTCCATTGGCTGATGTACGGCTGTAATTGAGGGGGTAGCTGCCACCACCCAATTTGTCCCCCCCAAACAAAAAAAAAAAAAAAAAAAATAAATAAAATTTAAAAGGGTTACGAATTTGTGCAAGAAGGTAGGGAAGAAGTGGCATGTAATAGGAGGGGGTCATTTTTGTTGCGTAATTTATGAAGAAGGATGAGTATATTGACAACTTTTAGTGATGCACAATTTTTTTTTCCTTTTAGGTCATCAGTGATTCACGAATTAGGTAGAGATTCTTCGGCATGCCATTATTAAGGGAAGATGACAGACTTAATGCCCTTGAGAATCGGTCAAATGATTGTCATTAGATTAGATGTTAATCCAAATAGAATTGCGTATGATTAATACACCAATTATAGCAAAAAAAAAAAAAAAAAAAAAAAAAAAAAAGGGTAAGAAGAATAAGTACGGATACACAACAAAATTACAAAGTAAATCCACCGGTATAATCCGAATCAATAGCTGTGAGTGAGTATGTTTATTCTTATCCAAATGTAAAAGAGCGGGCACACTACTTTGATCAACTGACATAATCTATTTTGGCCGCTTGAATGGAGCCGTTGGTTTTTGAGTTAAGCTAAAATCGGAGGCTGCAAGCTATGCTGAAAGAGAAAGGTGGAAATGGGACAGGCTAAACCCTTCCAAAATCCTTTGTACAATTGAACGTCACTTTTTGCCTCTCTGCCCTTTTGTGTTTGTCATTTCCGACTAGATCAACGCACAAGAGTGGGCTATTTTTTCGGTTCACACTTGACTTGGAAATCTGATATGTGATTTATTTTTGTTATCAGAATATATTTTTAGTTTGAAAGCTCAAGTGCTTTTAAAGTATGGTTTTTGTGGAAGCCAACGTTACGGAGCAAACCGTATGAATTGACAGGTTGATATCAGCATAGTTTGATACGTTAAGTTTCTTCCGCAGAAACATAAATTATATTATAGATTAAATATTAGGGAAATCTGTCTCATATAACCATGAAGAACATTAAGACCAGAAGGCAGACTTTTAAGAATGCGCCTAATCTTATTATCTACTACCCATGATTATTTGTAATGATTCACACTTTCCTGGGATCACAATAACAAGTTGCTTTTCCCAGCAGCATGAGCATACTTTTGACTTTTTGTAAGCTCTTTTTTCCGTATTCTAAGCATATCCTAAAGCTAATCATGCTTTTGATGTGAATGCGTATATTTTATGACTAACTAGAGTTTTGAAGCCAGCCACGTCTTCTAACGCATTAATATTGGAAACTTTCTCCCATTTACTAACACGCGGGTACTGAAATTATTCTGATTCTTAATATTTTATATATTTATTAAGCATATATGAAATCAAAAAATATGCAGATTCGATATTAAAATATGTAACTTAATATCTATAAAAATCAGAAATTAAATTGATTAGAGAAATAATTGATCCAATTATAATTCATCACTTTCCCCATGGTAGGTCCATAAACATGCCATACAATTCTTTCAGCTGATTACTCAAGTGAGATTCAATTTATTATTTTAACTATATGTTTTATAGCATGGGCTATACTCAGTATAATCGTGTGACATACGAGGAGAACGATTGTAAATCATAAATTTTCAAGTACTTAATTATGAAGTCTGCTCTAAATTAACAATCATCCGTTTATTTTTCTTGATCAATAAAAGAACTCTTACAATATTAATAAAAGAAATATTAATAGACTAGTCACAACTGGATCCGACTGGGGACATGTACAGGTCGATATTCACATACTGTATTCTCAAACGGCTGTCGAAGATTTGGAATATCCACCCATGCCGATTGCGTGACGACACAACTTGACGGAATCTGTCCACAAGCCAAAGTTAAAATGTAATATTTTACATATTCGTGGCCACATACAGGAAGCACACAGAAGACTTTGCTGATCCTGTGAGACACTATAATTGAACTTTGAAGTCAAAGCAAACTGGCAACTGCTAGTTTTATTTTATCTATTGGCCTCTGGACCATCACAAAGCATTCTGCTTTAGCTTTTTCTTGACCAAGTAATAACAAAGTTTACATTTTTAATATCCATCTGAAGCTGCAACTTCTGCCACTCTTGCGCCTCAGCCTGTGCGTTCCTCTGGGCATCTGGTATGAATTTGAAGTTGAATTTGGGAAAAGAGTCTATCCAGTGTTTAAATTTCAATGCGCTCTCTCTCTTGTGAAACAAATTTGATGATGCAGATATATAACTCTCTTTGGTTAATGCAGTTGCTGGGTTTCTAGCTGATTCTAGAGAGTCTAAAAGCCATGGCAGAAGATGATGTGCCCACCAAAGCAGCAGCAGCAGAAGATGTATACACCAAAGATGGGACTGTGGATTTTCGTGGAAACCCAGCTAAGAGAAATTCCACAGGAACCTGGAAAGCCTGCCCTTTTATTCTAGGTACAGCAGCAACTCATGGAATTTGGTCCTTTTGTAAATTATTGTAATATTTTTTTTTGTTTTTTTTTTTTTTTTTTTTTTTTTTTTTTTTTTTTTTTTTTAATAGGGAATGAATGCTGTGAAAGATTGGCTTACTATGGGATGAGCTCTAATCTGGTGATTTATTTCAAGACTCAACTAAACCAAAGCAGTGCTGTTGCTGCCAAAAATAACTCAAATTGGGGTGGAACATGCTACCTCACCCCCTTACTTGGAGCTTTTCTGGCTGATGCCTATTTGGGAAGATACAAGACTATTGCCTCCTTCTCAATCATCTATGTCATTGTAAGTTTGTTTACCTTCATATTTATATATACATGAGCAGCTGAGGTCAACTTGATGAAGCAAAATGATTAACTTGAACACCCCATGGATGGGCATTTCATTCTGGGTATCTTTTATTTTGCTTATCCCAATTGATTCCCTATTAGCTTAATACAAGCTTAGAATCGTACCCAGTGCCTTAATGTTTCTAAAAACATGACCTTGGTTGTTGAAGTTTGTTTCTTGTTGGGTTTAATATACTCCCTCAATAGACACTTACTGATTCTGTAATAATTTGCATAGGGGATGACACTTTTGACAATGTCAGCATCGGTCCCGGGACTGAAACCAACCTGTTCAGGAAAAGACAATTGCCATGCAAATGGTGGACAAACTGCAGCAACTTTCATAGCACTTTACCTAATAGCATTGGGGACTGGTGGGATTAAGCCTTGTGTCTCATCCTATGGAGCAGACCAGTTTGATGATGATGATGAGGTTGAAAAGAAACACAAGGGTTCTTTCTTCAATTGGTTCTATTTTTCCATTAATGTTGGTGCTTTGATTGCCAGCTCTGTGCTGGTGTGGATACAAGAAAATGTGGGTTGGGGATGGGGTTTCGGTGTTCCAGCCGTTGCCATGGCAATTGCTGTAGTGAGTTTCTTTTCAGGTACTCGGTTATATAGGTATCAGAAGCCTGGAGGTAGCCCTCTGACACGCATAATTCAGGTGCTGGTGGCATCTGTGAGAAAATACAAGGTGAAAGTTCCCGAAGACAAGTCCCTTTTGTATGAGACTGCAGATGCAGAGTCTTCGTCCATCCAAGGAAGCCGCAAACTTGATCACACAAATGAATTTAGGTTAGTTTCTGATCTAAACTGAAAAAAGCTTGGATTATTTATAAAAGTTGATTTTCATAGGATAAGATTGGATGGCAAAGCAAATTCATGTAGCAGATACTAAATAGTTTTGCATATAAGGATCCATGCCAGCAGTCCCAATTCAGATTAAGGCCTAGTTGAGTTGAGTAATCAAACTATAAGATTGAGAATTCTTTTATACACATTGGTTTTGATTCTCTTGCAATAATTGCAATAATGATTGAGTAGTTTTACTTGCATTGTTATTGCTGTTCTGTTGACCTGTATTTTTACTGTCCAGGTTCTTTGACAAAGCAGCAGTGGAGGTACAATCCGACCATATAAAGGACTCAAAAGACCCATGGAGACTTAGTACAGTTACTCAAGTGGAGGAGCTAAAATCAATCATAAGGCTGCTTCCCATATGGGCAACTGGTATCATCTTTGCTGCTGTCTACAATCAGATGAGCAACTTTTTTGTGTTGCAAGGCACCCTTATGGATATTCGTGTGGGCCACTCTAGCTTCGAAATCCCAGCAGCATCTCTTTCCATCTTCGACACCCTTAGTGTCATTTTCTGGGTCCCAATATATGATCGAGTCCTTGTCCCAGTAGCTAGAAAATACACTGGTCACAAGAATGGCCTAACCACACTCCAGAGGATGGGGATTGGCCTCTTCATCTCCATATTTTCCATGATATGTGCTGCAGTTTTGGAACTCATCAGACTCAGAAGTGTTCGAGAGCATAACTATTATGAATATGAGCACATGCCCATGTCAGTTTTTTGGCAAGTACCTCAGTATTTCCTCATAGGAGCTGCAGAAGTTTTCACATTCATAGGACAGTTGGAGTTTTTCTATGATCAGGCACCTGATGCCATGAGGAGCTTGTGTTCTGCCCTCTCACTCTCCACTGTTGCACTAGGAAACTACTTCAACTCTATTCTTGTGACCATTGTTACCAAAACAACTAAGAAGAACAAGAATCCTGGATGGATACCGAACAATTTGAATTACGGACACCTTGATTATTTCTTCTGGTTATTGGCAGTGCTGAGTGTTCTGAACCTAGGAGCATATCTCTTGATATCCAAGTGGTACACGTATAAAAAGACCGTCGGAACTCTGCGTTGATCGCCAAAGGGAGAGATACCACATAAGAAGTTGTTTTCTGCACACTCTCTGGTGTTTTTTTAGCTTTTTTTTTTTTACTTTGGTTGTTGAAACACTTGTGTATATATATAGAGTCTGTTTTAGGAGCATTGTGCTTGTGTATGCCACTCTGCTAAGAGACTACAATGATGAATGAGTCTCATATGATGGTGTGAAACTATCAATTAAGCAAGAATGATTAAGAAAGAAGTGAACCACAAGTTCCATCTTTGTCTTTGCCTCCCATTTATTTCCTTGTACAAACTGGTACTAAATACTTGCTTAAGTCCTTTCAGTTCTTTTCTTTCTATATTACCAAACTCTAAACTGACATCCACATGGAAAAAAAAATAATAATAATAAATAAATAAATCATTTGAATAAAATAAGCATTATCCCCAAACATTTGGTGGAACTCAACCCAATAAAATAAGCTTAAATATTTGAAATTTCTTTTATGTAAATGGGTTAAAACGCTCTGTGTCTGAACCCGGTTAATTTCATCTCTTTTTCTTATATGGGTTTCTTTCTTGGTGGGTCTGAAAATATAAACCCAAGAGTAAGCACTGAAGTCTAGCCCAAGTCTCTATTGCCCTAGCCATTTGAGGCCCTTCACCTTCTTGCACGTGGAACTGCCAAGAAATTAGTTTTGATTCTGAAGACGATTAGAGAAAAGAGATCGATTGTCCTCACCACTCTCTGATCGCAGATGATTCGCAAACGCTATCAGGATGCCAAAGCAGGTAATTATGTGCTACGACAGGGCAAATAGCAAATCAAAGACAATAGTTTTCGCGCTTTGTGCTTCTGTTTTTTGGTTTTTGCTACAACTCTCCAACTGTTTGATGAATTGCTTCAATGAAAAACCTTAAGCTTTTCTTTTTTTATATTTACATTTCAGGGTACCAATTGGCCAAATCGTTGAACGCCCAGAAGTACTTGAAGAAGATAGGTCTGGGCAAGGAAGACTACTACTTCTGGAAACAAATAGGCAAGGCTTTGCTATGCACATACACTCTTTTCGGCGTAGCGTGGCTCTACAACGAGAAATCACCACTCGGCTGGTGGACGCTGAAGCCTAAGCCCAAGGAAGAGAGAGAGCTGGCGCACCTGTACGAGCGTCGACAGTTCCCCTACCCGGGCGACGAAGAAGCCATGGAAGAGTTTGTTGCCAAGGGAGGGATGATCGGCACAACAATTGGCCCGAAAGGGTTCGTTGAGACGGACAAAGATGCGTTTAATTATCAGAAGGAGTTGCAGAATAAGAAGCTGGATCAGGAAGCTCAGAAGCTGTGGTTGAGGATGAAGAATGAGGTCATTCAGGAGCTTCAAGAGAAGGGCTACGTAGGTGACGCTGAGTGAGTGTAAGTTAGGATGGTAAGCTCTGAGTGCAAATTGTATGGTTATGTGAAGAGTTCATGTGTCTGTGTGCAAAAGCTTGTTCCTTTCGTTTCATGTTTTTACTTTAAAAATACAATTATCAAAGTATTAGTATCTTTCTTAGTTCCCAGTTCCTACTTTGCCTTTGTTGGTTGGAATAGAAAAGCATACTATTTTAGATAAAAGCACTTTGTGTGCTTCCTCAAAAAGTGACTTGGATTTTTCTATGCAACATTGATACGCTTCTTTCAAACAAAACAGCTACCAAGCAAAAGCGCTTCACAAAGAAATGCTCGAAACAAAGACACGCTTGATCTACAAAATAAACATTCAACACAGCTACAAAATGAAGTGACAAACAAACGATTTCAAAGAAAAAAAAGACTAAATTGTATTATTACAAGGCTCCTCAAATATCATAGGCAGCTACTTAAAAAGATTGTCAGAGGGAAACAGTTGTGGTTTTGATTATTGCCTTATTGGCAATTTGGCATTGTTAGGAGAAACGTGTTAGGGAGAGGCATGCCCTCATACTAGAAGAAAATGCATTTATATATGGCTTTACAACATAACAAGACATCCAAGGAAGAAGATGCGAATGCGATGAAGCACCTTTACAAGACATTCTTGGGCACAGACTGTAAGTTGTTGCTGCTTGGCCTACTCTTTCCTGATTCACTCTTCCTGTAGCTCCTCAATGGCGTCAAGTAAAACCTCAACAATCCATGATCAAGATTGCTCGGCGAATACCGAGCACTCTTGTTCCTCTGCAGAGTCTTCAAACCATTGCTTTTGCTCTCGACACCAACGCCATTCACATTGCTGAACAAATCAACCATTTTGCATGAGTTCCTACAGCTAACGCTGTAACTCCGAATCAGCTTCTGGCTCACAGACCCACTGTTGGCTTCTCCATCGGCAACCCTCCTCAGCTTTTGCCAAGAATCTGCATTGTCTTCATCCACACATTTCTTTTCACTTCTCCTCTGCATCAAACCCCAAAAACTCCACTTCTTGTGCCGCCTATTCGGCTTTTGATGATCAACCCCATTGGTTGATTCCACAGCAGCATTTTTACAAACAGCTTCAACGCCAACCCCAACACCACCCTCCTCCTCCTCCTCCTCACACTCATCTTCAACAGATTTCAACTTCGAACCCGAACCCATCAGTTCCTTCTCTGTAATTAGCAACTTGGCGCCATAGAACAACTCTGTAGTCGCAGGGGACACTCTGGCATTCGTTACCAACTTCAACTCATCAACCTCCGCCGCCGATCGATCGAAGCTCCGCCGCCGCTGAGAACAGTAATAGTCTTTGGTTTGAGCTGACCCACCTGGGCTCCTCTCCAAGCTCTCTTCCACAACCGAAACCATCGGCGTCAGCCTCGGGTGGTGGGCTCTCGAACCCAAATACCCGTCCCACGAAGCCCGAGGCTCGTCAAGCGACATTCGACCCGGATCCGGATCCGTATCGTACGATCTTCTCCCCAATGCGTACTCTCCAACCTCCGACTGGGTTTCCCTCCGCTTCTGGCACACGAAACCCTCATTCTCCGCCTTCTTCGTCTTCTGCTTCCGCCGCCATTGCCTCACCTTCTTGCTCAAAACCGACGCCGTTCCCCAAAATGTCCCTGCGATTTCCTTCAAATCCCGACCCGCACCCTTCTTCCTCTCCCACTCGAGATCTATCAGCTCCTTCATCGTCTTGAACTCCGCATCCGAATCCAAAACCCTAGCTTCGTCTCCACTATCGTCTTTGTCCTTTTCTCCTCTCAGTTCGACCTCAAACTTTCTGGGCAGGCCTTTGCGGTCGTCGTCGATGTTGAAGAGCTCCGACAGAGTGTTCCGAGCCCGAACGTCGCAGGACTTGCGCCGGGTCGGGTCGGGGGCCGACGAAGACTCAGGTCTCTGGCCGGAGCATGACTTGCTGCGCCGGAGCTCGGACCCGGAATGGGGGTTCCGGGTCGGTGATTGGGGTTGAGCGGCAGCGGCGGCGGAGTCGAGGCCGGCGAGGCGTTCACTGAGGCAGGGGGCGCAGAAGCCTGTGATGGGTTTGGTAGGGTGGCGGTGACAGGTGGAAAGGCGGTGAGTTTGGCGGTGAAGGGCCATGGCTTTTTTAGGGTTGCAAATGTGGGGTGGTGGTGGAGAGTGAGAGTGACAGTGGGTGCATGGTAGAAGAAGAAGGAAGTGGGGACTCACAGAGAGAGAGAGAGAGAGAGAGAGAGAGAGAGAGCGGTTGAAGTTGTGGTCGGAATGGGAAATTGATAAAAATGGAAACCCCAGATAAACCCCCTTTTTGGGATTTTATGGTTGTTTTGTTGCGTCCATGAATTTCTATTTTCTAAACATTTGACATGGAGATGCAGTGCAGCAGGATCTATATTTCTTTCTAGGAACAAAAAAAAAGAATCCTATGCAAAGGAATTTATGGCCTTTTTTGCAGCTCAAATATAATAAAAATATTATTTAATAGAACTCTTGCAAAAAAAATTTACAGAAAAAAATGGACTCTATTTATTGTAAAAATGAAAAATACCTAGCTTCTAACATGGAAGCTTGCGCACAAATTCAATGTTGATATGTGTACATACTTTTAATGAGTTATTTGTGTGTTTTAACAATAAAGAAAGACTACTTTTATATAAATTGTACTGTCGTGATTTGCAAGAAGTAATGAGAAATGATTCTTTATCGGGAAAAAAACTTTGCATGCTCTCACATTGTCTTAATAATTCTTTGTTTATAGACACATCAGTTTGTTCATGGTTATTGGTAAGTGGTAAGTGATTTTGATAGGAAGTTAAACCATCGCCTTGTTCATGATTATCTTCTCAAATGAAACTTGCTACTGAAACTTGGGCATTGCTTGGAGCAGAAGAAGAGCAAGCAAAGATAAGAGTGTGAAGATGAAGGAAAGCAACAATTTTTAGGCCCACAGTACAGTAAGCCCACGACATCAGTGCACTGCACACTTTCTTGGATTTTGGTTTCTTTGCAAAATGACTATAATAGGCCACAAATGCCAAATCCAACCTCTTCCTCGTGGACGTGCACACAAATTTTAGGTCAACTCCACTAGGGACACCACCATTGGCATGGAAATACACAATAATGTAGCATTCCCAAACAATGTGCTTTAAAATACAAAAACCGATCTGGGACATAAGAGCCCAAGAATCTTTGATTTACTAGTATATTCAACTTTCACCTTTAAAAAAGAAGTTACCAGAAGGCTTCGAGCTTATGGTGTTTCTAAAAGTAATGACATGTTTACAAAAAGTGAAGAATCGCGGAAGTTATGAACATATTAATGACTCTTCCTAATCAATCTAAGGGCTAATTTGGCATTATTGTATTATGAAAATAATCGTTGTTAGATTTGCTGTGAGAGAAAGCAATTTAGCGTTTGATAAACTTTTTGTTAAACGTGTTTGTTGGTATTGATTTCCGCATAATCATTAAATCCAGCGTCTTTTCAAAACTAATTCTCTCATAATCAGAAAATGAAAGTATCTCATTAGTTGTTTTCTCTTATAGCTTTTTCTCACATCAATTTTTAACAATAAGTGATTTTCTCATGGTTTACTAAATGGGTTGGGCTTCCCAAATTTTTTTTAAAATCACTTATCACCCCAAATAAGCAATGCCAAATAGGCACTAATTCCTAATTTTTAAAGTATTTGATTATGTATTGTAATGTGGAATCTACATACTTTTTGATTTTGCATAAAGATTAGGAATCAAAATAATTCTAATATTCATAATTTAATAAACACATAGAATGTATGGATTATGAATAATTCCAATAATCATCCTAATTTATTCCCTATAAGTAAACATGACATGATATAATATAAACAACATTTTGAATGAATGCATTAGCAATAATGCAAATAATGATGTAATTCTAATTTTTTTATTTTTTTTTTTTTTTTTTTTTTTTTTTTTTTTTATTTAAAAAAAAAAAGTGGAAACTTGGTCTATAATATGAATCTAGGATCACTATTTAGGGTTTTAAGTTTAAGGTTTAGATATTGCAAATTGCACAAGTATTATATGAGTAGACTTATAATTCCACATCAACATGACACGTTGTGTTATCATCACACCAGAAAATTTCTCAATTTTCCGTTCGCATATGTATGCCCATCATAAGCGTAAGTGGGCCGACAAATCGGCCCAGTATTACTAAAATCGGCCCCACCACGCTATTTTGATTTCAACGGTTTTAGCCACTTCCTTCAAACTCATCCCCTGAAATGGATCAGAATGAAGGAGGAAAACCCAGCATGGAGAAGGCCAAGAGGTCTCTGGAGCTGACCGACGACGAGTCAGAGGCCGTGTCCAGGCTCGCCGTTCGGCCTCACCGAGCCGGCGCCGGTCCGAGCCTCTACGAGTATTTCGCTCTCAGAGGCATCCAAGTCGACCGAGTCGAACCGGGACTTGTCGTCTGTACATTCAAAGTCCCTCCCCACCTCAGCGTAAGTCATCTAAACCCGCTCATTCGTTTGGTTACAAGCAAAAGTTTCCATAATTATATCGAAATTAAAATTTGTTTCTTCATAATTTCATTATTAAGAGTATCAAAATAGGTTATTTGACTTACAAATTTGGGTAATTTTGGCTACAATTGAACTATTTTTTAGGTGGTTGAGTGGTTGGTGTGTTTATTTTTGCAGGATAGAAGTGGAAGGTTGGCTAATGGTGCAATTGCAAACCTTGTTGATGAAGTGGGTGGTGCCGTTGTTCATGTTGAGGGCCTCCCTATGAATGTTTCAGTGGATATGTGCATCTCTTATATGTCAACTGCGAAGCTTCATGTAAGCAATCTTGACACTCAACTATCCCATTTTTCGTTGACATGTATGCTTTACATAGCTGCCTTTCAATTGGTCATACATCCATGTATGTGTCCAATTTGTTGGACTTTCTTGAATGGATTTTTGCTACAATTTGTTAAGGCTTGTTTCCGAGTTTTGCTACTATTTTGTGCTTCCATTGGTGGTTTTAACCTCTCTTGTCGTATGTGTGTGGTATACGATCTCAATCGTGCTTATGTTCAATTTAACTGACTTTCTTGAATGTCACCATTGTTTGTTGCCAATGCTTGAAGTTATGTGCCCAAAAATCTTAAAGGAACTTGTCTTGTATAGAACGCCAACTTTGCCACTGGTTTCTATTTGCCAGAAATGTTTTATTTCCTGGTTTTATTTACAAAATTTAGCTTCTACAATGATGACCAATTTACTTTACCGTACTTGTCATATGTGTGTGCGGTATCCGATTTGCATTTCGATGTTTCTGGCCATAATGTATGTTCTCTTCCGGTGTCAAATTGCAGGATGAATTAGAGATCACCTCAAGGGTGTTAGGACAAAGAGGGGGTTATTCGGGAATGATAGTGCTTATGAGAAACAAGGTAACTGGGGAGGTTATTGCTGAAGGTCGACATTCATTGTTTGGTAGACATGCTAGCAAACTATGAGTCCCTGACTTTAGCATGTAGTACTATGTACATATATGAACTATATATGGAGGGAACTCCTTGAGGCATAGGTTGAATGATACTTTCTTCTTGTAATTAATTGTTTTTCATATTGAATAAAGATTGAGAATCTTGGCAATAAAGTTATTCAGGTATAATGTTATGGACCAACATACATACATGGTGCAGTTTCTGTCCTCGAAATCGAATTCAGTGGGACTACTTTTACTTCATGTTTTTGCTGATTCATACACAAAAAAACTTAACCCCAATTTTCACTGTGATTCCTGGTCCTGCATTTTTCTTCAAAGACAGACTTTATTTTTCATTTTAGATTTCAGTAACATGGGTTTTTATTTATCCTAAATTCTCCTTCCTCGGTTGTAATTAACTGCCTCCTAATTTCTCCTTGATTCTCCTTTCTAATTTCCAGATTCATTTAGCTATTAGTCTCAGTATCTGACTCAAACTCATTATGTTAGGTAAGGGATCAAAGTGGGATTTTAAATGAGGTAGAGAATAGTGGAGATCTTCTTTCTTCTTTTTGTTATTTTCAAAGTAGATAGTGGGGTATGTATGACTTCATCCCTTGGATCTTTCCAAGGCAATTATGTAAATGACATTATAAGACTCTCTCATTAGAGCAACTCCACCCATTTGTCCCTTGCCATGGCAAGGGGGGAGCTAGGGCAGCCACTATTCACGTGAATAGTGGTTGCCCTTGCAAATAGTATTGTGTGTTTCCACCCGTTGCCATGGTAAAGGACAATTACTATTTATTTTTTTGTTTTTTTCACAAATTTGTTTACCTAAACAATTAATTTGGATAATATTTTCGGATAAGATTTTTGGGTTCGTACGTGTCAATATTTATTATAAAATTATATCTCAATCGGATAAAATTTTGGTATTTATAGAAAAAAAAAATCAGTAATTTTTTGGTATTTTTTTTTCATTTTTTTATTGCACACAAATTGGCTACTATTGGATTGGAGAAAAAAAATCTGATCGGAGAGCCCAGAGCGTGACACGTGGATTGTAGTGGTACTGTAGTGGCACTGTAGCGCTAACGTCAGCACCAAAACGAGAGCTGGAGCTCGGGCCAACCTTGCCCTCGGGCTAGGTTGCTGGGTCCCACCTTGCGCCGGAGCTTGGGCTCCTTGTTGGAAACAGATTTAGGCAATTTTTTTCCCCTAGCCCAAGGCTTTGTCATGTCGCTAGAGTTGCTCTTACAGCTTCAGTGGAGGGGAGGAGTGTCAAAAAGTATGATCTACAATTACATTACAAGACTTGGGTCACAAGGGAATTCTTTTTGGAACAATTAGTGTATCCCCTTTCACCAAAAAAAATGTTAGCTAGAAACACTTGAACAATCAAACTATATAAATAAATAACTCATCAACTATAAAGGGCGTTTTGAAGGTCTTATACGGCTTGGCCATTATGATTAAAGAAAATACAATCAAGACTCTCCCAAAGAGACATTCCCGGTGCAGGGAAGTTTTCTCCTAAGAAAGGATCTGATATATCTCAAACGTAACGGTCTAGCCCAATAAAAATGACTTCATTTCGCAGAACAGTGATGTCAAGTTCAAACCCAATTTCTTTTCCTTCATCACAATATTTTTTGTTCAAAGATCCCTTCCTCACCAATTCTATTTTTGGTAAATTCTCTACTTCTTTATAGTTTCTATTTTTGGCAAATTAGGTGCAAGTCCTTATGGATGTGGAAAAATTCTGTACGAAGAAAAAGATGAGCGAAAATCCAATATGGAGGACGCGAAGAAGTGTTTAGAGCTGACGCCGGACGAGTCAGAGGCCGTGTCGCGAGTCATCGTTCCAGAAATCCGAGTCGGAAAAGAGCCGAGTTTGTACGATCTTTTCGCTACGACAGGCATCCGAGTCGACCGAGTCGAACCCGGATTCGCCGTCTGTTCTTTCAAGGTCCCTCCTCGCCTCACCGTGAGTCTTCTAACCCCTCACTCGTTTGGTAATTAATTGAAAACATGAGTTTAATGTGCCCAATTTTAGACTTGTGTTGCTTTTGTTGGCAGGATAAAGATGGAAATCTGTCTAATGGTGCAATTGCAAACCTTGTTGATGTAGCTGGTGCTTCTCTTATTTATGTTATGGGTCTCCCCATGAACGTTTCAGTGGACATGTCCATCTCCTATGTGTCAAAGGCGAAGATTGATGTAAGCAAGCTTTCCACTCAAAGTAATATATATTCTCCATTTTTCTTTCACATTCATATGGTTTTTAGCAACATCTGACATACTTTCGTGCTTAAAATTCCCTTGAAATATGGGTTCAATGGATTAGAAATATTTCCTTACGTGTTTCGATTCGAAGAATTTGGTTATTATAAAATTGGAGGTCTCAAGTTCAAATCTCGTTAACTTGAGTTTGATGTGTTGGTATCCCTTGTTGAGAGTTGTTTGTCAAAATCATTCCGCTGCACATTATTTTGTCTAGTGGTGGGATTTGCCTTATTCATGTGTGCTGGTGGTATATGATTAGCATTTGGACATTTCTGGCTATAACATTGTCAAATTTCAGGATGAGTTAGAGATCACCTCAAAAAGGTTAGGACAAAAAGGCGGTTATTCTGGAACATCAGTCCTGATGAGAAACAAAGCAACTGGGGCGATTGTAGCCGAAGGTCGACATTCATTGTTTCGTTCACCTGCTGCTAGCAAACTCTGAGTCCTTTCCATTTACAAGTACAAACCATGTATGAAGCGAACTCTCCATATTAGGGTTGCTTTTCTTTTTGTAAGTGTTCATTTATTTATTATTTAATAAAAGATAGAAATGTTAGAAGGACATAGAACAAATAACCAAATTATTGGCCTTGTAATGACTTGGATTCTTTTTTATTTCGAACTCCTGCATACATTCACACCAGATAAAATGAGACATATTACATCCGATTGCATATATCCAATACTTCACAATCTCTAATAAGAGTGATGCTAAAGATAGTTGCTCACACGTTTAATATTTTCCATCCAATTGCATCAAGGATCCAACAGTTCACAATCTATGCGACTGACAATGCTTTATGGGTCCTAAGAAGTAGTGGCGGATTTAGAATTTAAAAGTTAAGTAGGTGAAGATTACCTTAAAAACTTGACGGTATAAGTGAATTTTATTTATAAAAATAAAAAGATGCACCTAGTCAGGGGGACATAATGATCCTTACCCTCAAATATGCATCTCTATATATAAATGAAAGTTTAACAAAAAAATATCTTGACTACTCTTTGGGTCTCAACTCTTTCAACTTGAGACTTGACAATGAGAGAGTTGGGAAGATTTTGATCATCACAAATGGGAGGCATTGTACTAGATGATGACCTATCATTATTTTTCTTAAAAAAAAAAGAGAACAAACAAAAAAAAAAAAAAAAAAAAAAAAAAATCTTGTTTTCTTAGGGTTCCGATTGTGATATGACATAATGGAAGATAACTTATTTAATCAAACATCCCAACAAAAAATAAAACAAATTCTTATAATAGCATCAATGCATTTAAACAAATATTAACATGCCAACAACAAATTAAACATCTCAACAAAATTCCTAAAATCAAAGACCTAATTAATTTCAACACATCCCCAAATTATAATTCATTCCTAATTAAACCCTAGAATGCTCAATTTCGAATTAAAATTAAAACTAGGATGCATACATTTATTTTAAGAAAAACCCAATAAGAGAAGATAATTAAAGAAAAGAGCATAAGAAGAATACTTGTTGCCTAGATAAGGAGAAACATGAGGCATACTCCATTCAATTGCATCAAAGGATCCAACATTTCACAATTTCTGCGGTTGTCATCTGCTTTATTGGTCATGCAAAGCAATATTACATCCACCGTACACATTTTAGCTTCCATAACTTCTCTAACAAACAAGCAAATATAATTTTGCTTTTTGTCTCACGTTCAATGTAGATATGTTCTAGGTGTTCCTACGAGAAAAAGAACTTGTATTGTATATCACGGGGCTATTAGAACTTTCAATCAATCAGATTCTGCTCCTCGCTTGGACACTTAGAATATTTTTTTAAAAGTTATCGCTTAGAACATAACGTAATTGATTAAAAATAACGAAACAATAATATCTCTATAACATGCAAGTTTTTCTCCACAAGAACCGTAAACAATGCAATTATTGCAAGCATCTTAAATCGTGGGATATATTTACCAACATAATTGCTCCACTGAAAGGATGTACACGTGTTTCACAAAAAGAAAAGAAAAGTGTACATGTGATGTGATGTGAGGATCTACATTTGATGAACAATTCAATTGAATATAAATAACACTTTGGACGTTGATTCAATTAGGTCCCGCCTGTTCAGAAATGTTGCGCCAAAAAACGAACGGTTTCTCTCCTTTCTCATGCGCGGGTCCCGCCTTCAGCAGAGGTGTAAGTTTCGAATTAGATGCAAATTTGCGTTCTTTACTCTTCATCAGCACGCGAGTTGGCTCATCTAAGTCACCAAGGTTTCTTCCATTGAAGCTGATATGGAGATGGAGAAGAAGGTGAACAAGTCTCTGGACGTGACCGAGGACGAGTCAGAGGCCGTGTCGCGACTCGTCGTTCCAGTTATCCCACCCGGCGGGGTGAGCTTCTACGATGCTTTCGTTGTCAGAGGCATCCGAGTCAACCGAGTCGAACCCGGACTGATCGTCTGTACTTTGAAGGTCCCTCCCCGCTTCACCGTGAGTCTTCTAAACCCACTCACTTTTCTGATTCATTTCCCAAAATTAAATTGGATTCTCTGTTTCTTTAATTAACTAGAACTAAGCCCAAATATTCCCCACCTTAAAAATACAACTATTTATGCATGCTCAGGATTAAAATAGTTTTTTCCTCAATCTCGCAGACTCAAAATTGGAGTAAGCAACTTTATTAAATTGTTTAAAATTAGTTTAACTTTTGTTTTGGTTAATATTTGTTGAGTTTAATTTTGTTTATACTTTTGTGATTTATTTTACTTAAAATAAAAACGAGTACAACCACATTGACATGCAAATGTGGGCACAACAACTTTGAAAAGACAACGAACAAAATTAACAAAGTAAGAAAGGGAAAAATAGATTTTAGTGGATTATTTAATAAATGAATAGGTATTTATAGAGTTTGAGATTGCATATGATTTAGGTAATTTAATAATAATATTTTAACTGTCCTAAAAATATATAATATTATTATTTTAACTGTTAGATTTTAATTTGGACTATTGGATAAGTTGTTTCCCGTTGAAATGGCTAAGAGTGAAACATAGCCATTAGATTAGATGTAATTAGTCATAGTGCCCGTTTGGCATTGCTTATTTGGGGTGATAAGTGATTTTTTTAAAATTTTGGGAAGCTCAGCTCGTTTGATAAACTATGAGAAAATCACTTATTGTTGAAAATTGTTGTGAGAGAAAGCTATAAGGGAAAGTAGGTAATGAGGTGCTTTCATTTTCTGATTATGCGGGAATCAGTTTCAAAGAGATACTAGATTTAATGACTATGCGAGAATCATTTTTTGATTATGCGAGAATTAGTACCAACAATACTTTTTACAAAAAGTTTACCAACCGCCAAAGTGCTTTCTCTCACAGCTGACTTCTCTCACAGCAAATATGAAAGCAATTATTTTCATAGTACAGTAATGCCAAACTTGCCCATAATGTTTGAATTTAGAAAATAAAAAAAGCAATTCAATAGGAGCCGTGCGATCTCAAAGGGCAAGTCCTATGTTTCCACCATGAGTAGTGCGGCTTTTCCTCCGTAGTGGCCGACACGCACGTCTGTTGGGCTCCACCATCGTTAGCTTCTTCACGTTGACCGCCCAATAGCCGAAGCTTGCCTCCACCATTTTGAGTTGGACTCAAAATATGACTGCAATTTGGCTTGGTCTTAGGCTCATTTGAAAATTTGATCCGTCAAACACATAGGTTGGGGATGTTTTTTAGCTAAGAAATTTTGGGTTTGACCCTCGTGCATTGGAGATGGCCTTAGGCCTTTTTCAACTCATTTGGTCCTAAACCCAAATTTTTCTTCTTCAAAAAGTAACTATTTGAGTTTTGCCCGGACTCAAACCGTTTTCCCCCCCAACCCTTTAGACTTAAATTTCAAGTCTGCAACTTTATTAAATTGTTTAAGAATGGCTTAAGTATATTTTTTTTCTTCATGGATCACTTTTCTTCATTTAATCTTTTTAAATAATGTCATGATTTAATATTTTTGAACAATTTGACATAAAAAATTGAAATTCCACAAATATAATTTTATTTAAGAAATGGTTGAGTATTTATAGAGTTTGGAGTGAGTTTTGGGGTTGGATCTGATTTAGATTAATTAAAAATATTATTTTGACAATTGGATTTAAATTTCAGCAATTTGATCTTTTGTTTTACCGTTAAAATAGCTTGGATTTAATATGAATCGTTGATTTGGGTTACTGTTGAAATAAAAGAAAAAGGCAAAAAAAGAAGAAGAAGCCAAAGCACCATGTCGCGACACCTCTCTGCTGCACAACAATGGCGGGCCCCATTCATACCTCCTTGCACATAAGCTGCATCAACCTTGAGTGGGCTCCACACACAAAAAATCTAGTCTAGGTAATAGCTGGATTGGTATTTGGCCCCAAGTTTGGGTTTTCCCAAATTTTAGCCCTTGCTTTTTTTGGGTTGGGAGATGAATTGGGCTTAAATTTGAGATTATTTGGGTTATGCCTCATGAGTTGGAGATGGCCTTAGAAGAGAGAGAGGGAGGGAGAAAGAAGCACAGAGACATGGATAGGTGTGTAATTATTGAGAAGTTGCATATGATGATATATTTTATTTTTATTCTTATACAAGCGATATTAGGATTGCATATCCAAACATAGAACGTCGAGAAATGTGCAAATGCTCTTAATTACTTGAACTACAAACTCATTGTACATTTTGAGGTGATTTTAGGTCATGTTACTTTGTGCACGATATGTAGTTCTAAGAGCATCTCCAAGAGAAGAAAAACTTCTCTGGCATGGGGATGCCAGGGTAAGCATTAAACTAAGGTTCGTGACCCCATCATTGCAACTAAGGTTGGGGATACTTAGTTTGAATGCTTTACCCAGGCATCCCCGTGTCAGGGAAGTTTTTCTCCTCCAAGGGAGATGTTAAATCCAATGTGGCACTTTTAACATGTAAAAAACACAGCAGAGATTCACTCTAACCAAAATGTTAAATTCTACGTGGAATAACATTTCTCTCTTTTGTTGTTATTATTGGTTGTTTGACTTTGTGATGTTATTTCATTATATATATATATTTAATTATTGTACTCAGAAAGTAATAAACCAATAAACACTGTGATAAAATAATATTTTAATTTGACATGTCAGGTGGAATATAAAACTCTATTATATGTCAAATTACCACATAAGCCATCAAATTCAAATTTAATGTTTGATATTTGACATCTACTCTAACTTTGCTAAATATGATACAAAGATGCATCTCAACATATAAGAGGGAACACTTATATATAATACCAATAATTCACTTCAACGCAGGGGTCGTACTATCATAACTTCCCAAATATAATTTAACATATTTAAGTCTCTAATTTAAGACAATAGTAATTCATAATACATATATGTACGTATGAAGAAATAATCTATTTTAAGGGACCTCTCCCAAAGAATTTTCAATGGTATAAAAAGAATAAGAATCATGGGTTTTAATCCATAACTCATGAACGAACAAGCTTTATAAAATCATCTCGTCATGCCTTTGCTCGAGAGTGCCTTGTCTCGGTGTGTTAGTCCAATTGTTTACCAAAATATCCAGATTTAATAATTTAGAACATGAGCTTTAAATTCATATAAAGCTATTTTACTCTTCTTCACTCATTAGTATTGGCAAACAAATACACAAAACAACAAAAAAAAAAAAAAAAAAAAAAAAAATCTTAATTAATCACAAAAATTCTTTTTGCACCTTACATTAATTAAAACATCATATTCTACAGTAGTTTTAGGTATAGGGTTATTACACAGACCCCATTTAAGATCACATTCTTCGAAATTTCCTCTTAATCTATTTTCTAGAAATTAAAAATGTTTTGTTTAAGATGATAGATTTTTTAATGTAAGTTTCTTTCATTTGTGCAGGATAGAGGTGGAAATTTGGCTAATGGTGCTATTGCAAACCTTGTTGATGAACTTGGTTTTTGCGCAGCTTATGTTCCGGGCCAGCCTATGAATGTTTCCGTGGACATTTCCATCTCCTACATGTCAACTGCCAAGCTTCATGTAAGCAAAGCTTTCCCGCTCCAATCCAATACCCTTTCCCCATGCACCCTCTGTAGGTGAGTCCTTACTTAATTGTTCGCATGCCCAACTTGACAAACGAGTTATAGAACATTATACTCGACAGTGACCAATTGAACAACTAAATAAGGACTCAACAACACTCCCCCCTCAAATAGGTGCTAAGACGTTTCGCATGTCCAACTTGACAAGCGAGTCACAGAACACCATACTCTCGTCATTTAAGCTAACCATTACGAGCTTCATAATTTTGTTTATTTTTATGTGAAATTGCAGGATGAGTTAGAGATAACTTCAAGACTGTTAGGGCGGTTAGGACGTTACTATGGAGCAATTGTCATTTTGAGAAATAAAACAACTGGGGAGATAATAGCTGAAGGTCGACAGTCATTCTTTTCTTCCCGTCCCGTTGCCAAACTCTGAGTTCTTTTTTCACATATTGTTTGCACTCAAAATTAAGTTTTTACACACAGTGACACATGAGGAGTGGAAAAGAGTTTATAGTTGATAATATACTAGTTTTTATTTTTTTTAAAGAGTATAAAATATGTTTGTGTACAAATTTAGGCATCACAACAATGCAGTTCTTTTCTTCTTCTCATTCTATCGGAAAGTCGGCGTCGTTGTCTTGAAAACAAAAACTGACCTACACCGAACCTTCTGTTCAGTGAATTGAAGGCTTCGGTTTTCTGTAGTGGTGGTGGGCTGTATGGCCTGTCGATTTGTCTTGGTTCGGTGACCCACCCTTTGTTCTTACCTTTTTCTAACATATCCAAGGTTAAAAATCAAGTTGGATTTGAGTGGATTCGAATTAGTTCAACCCGAGTTGTACCCCTAACTTTCTTTTTTTGTTACAGAGCATGGCTAAGCCAAAGACAAACGAAAGAAACTAACAAATCAGAGTCCTATCTTGGGCCTTTCCTAACTCATCATCGAGCAAAATGCTTAAAATGGAGTTAGAAGCAGACTCATAGAGGTGAAGACCCAAAGATAAACCAAGCCCTTGTTTTGCTCCCTATACACATGGCATACATCGCATCTCCAGTACAGATGACAACGGGGAGGTCAGGGGCCGAGTATGACGATACCATTCTAGTTCCGGCTTCCCATCCTTGTTCTGGTTTCCGATATGAATATTCGGGGAATCCTTGTCCCTGTCTTTCTTGGGATTGTATCCCAAACTTGGCCCAACTCATTTTCTAAAAATTTAAAAATATATATCCATATTATAACACTTAAATTTCACCTTAAACTATCATTCAACTCATCAATTATAGTCAGTTGAAGTATAAAATTTCACTCAACTACTCAAAATCATCACAATTTAATTTGACAAGACTAATAAAATCATATTATAATAAATAAATAAAATAGGTTAATTTTTAGTTTAGTACCCTGAACTCTCATCCTTAAAGCACGTTTGCCCCTGCACTCTTAATTTTAACAATCATTTACCCTAATCTTTTAATTTTTTGTAATTTGGTTCTGGCGTTAATTTCATAATTAATATTTTTGTTAATTACCTACGTGGCAGGCTTGGGTCCCCACCTTTTTTTTTGATTTTAGATATTAGATTCTTTTGTTGGAGGGTTGATTGTTTGGTTGCTTCTGATGTTTTTTTTTTTTTTTTTTTTTTTTTTTTTTTTTTTTTTTTTTTTTTCTGCAAGTTTGGGCGGGAAGACACCAATTGTTCAAAAATACCCTTCAACTGCCACATCGAAAGAAGTGAATAGGTAGGACCTAGGCCTGTTATGTAGGCAATTAATGAAAATTTTGATGGTAACGCTAGAATCAAATTGCAAAAAATTGAAAAGTTTAGGTTACTTGATTGTTAAAATTGAGAGTTCAGGGGTAAACATACCTTAAGAGAGAATTTAAGGTACTAAATTGAGATTAACCAAAAAAACAAAAAGAGTCCAAAGCCTCACCATCTTACAAAGTTTAGTGTAACTTTTTAATTGTTATATTATATTATATTATAAATTTATTAATTAAAAACAAATACATCACCTATTGGGTCGGGTTCGAGGATGGTGTTAGCAATACCATCCATGTTTTCTACCTGAATCTTCCTTTGTTAGGCCATCTCCAACCCTTGGACTCAAACCCAAAATATCTCACCAAACCTCTCCCAACCCCCTGGTTTACCTGTTACCAAAGTTCCTGTGCCCCATTGTTTCCCTACTAATTCCGTGACAAATGGCAAACCACTTAACACCACTTAACTCTGTTAACTCTTTTTGCTTCTTCTTTTTTTTTTGGCTTTTTCTCCCGGCCCCTTTCTTTCTTCTCTCGTTCTCCCCCTCCCTCCTTCGTCTCCTCTTCTCTCATTCCTTTTTTATTCTCTTTACCAAATCTCCACCTCCACGTTCTCTCTCTCTCTCTCTCTCGCTTTTTTTTTCTTCTTTTTCTCTTCTCTCCTTTTTTATTTCTTTTCTTAGTTTCTCCTTTACCCCTTTTTTCCCTACCTTCTCTTATCTCTTCCGCTCCCCTTTTTCCCTACCAGCCAAATTAACACATGGACTCGAGCCGAAATACCTGCCCTAAACCCTAAACCCTCTTCGTCTTCTCTCGCCTTCAACATCGAAGCCAAAATCTTCGCTGGTCTTCAACAAGGCAAATCTTCTATCGTAGTTAAATCTTCGTTCGTCTTCAAAGATTTGTCTTCGCTGTCGATAAACATGTAAGAGCCTTTTTCAAATTGTGTTTTGACACGGACAGTGAACTATCAGTTGTGCTTACCCAGTACCAATTGATTGTTAATTAGCATTTCTTTATTGGGAATTTGGACTTTGATCATTGAATCTCAAATGTGTTCCTCTCTTCCCCCGCCACTTTTTTTTTATAGAGAGAGAGAGAGAGAGAGAGAGAGAGAGAGAGAGAGAGAGAGAGAGAGAGAGAGAGAGAAAAGAAAAACAAAGCAAAAGCAACAAAAAAAAGAAGAGAGAGAGAAAGAAAAAACGTGGTGGTGGAGATCTGGAAAAGAGAACAAAAAAGGAAGGAGAGGAGGAGAGACGAAGGAGAGAGGGGGAGAGGGAACCAGAGAAGATAGAAAGGGGCAGGACAGGGAGAAAAAGAAAAAAAAACAAACAGTAAAAGGAAGCAAAAAGAGTTAACAGAGTTAAGTGGCTTGCCACATGCCACGAAATTAGCAGGGAAACAGGGAGGGCACAGGAACTTTGGTAACAGGTAAACCGAACTCAAGAAAATGAAGGACCCAAAATTTGAGAAAATCCAAATTTGGACCGAAATATGGGTCAAAGTATTGCCTGGACCTAATACTATTCACTGGAGCCCAAGCTGAGGTTGCAGAGCCCATGTGCTTCTGAAAAATGGTGGAACCCGTACTGGTTACATATTCTGATGGGCTTGTCTGTGGCATGAGCCACGTGTTGGCACTAGATGAGAGAGTTGTTGGGCTTTGGCTGTCTCCTTTTTTCTTTTTTTAATAATCAAATAGTATCGATTAGGCCCACATGCTGGCTGTTTTCATTTAAATTTTTTTATGAAATTTCAATTTTTTTTAGGTCAAATTGTTCAAAAAATTAAATTATGATGTTATTTAAAAAGATTAAATGAAGAAAAGTTATCCATTAAAAAAAATAGACTTAAACAATTATTAAACAATTTAAATAAAGTTGCGGACTTAAAATTTAAGTCCGGAGGGTTGGGAGAAAAAACGATTTGAGTCCGGACAAAACCCAAATAGTCACATTTTGGAGGGAGAAAATTTAGGTTTAGCCCCTCATAGGTTGGAGAAGGCCTTAGGGTTGGGGACTTGACCCAAAGAGAATTTTTTCCATCCCTACTCCAATCACGGTTCAGTAAAACCTTGCAATCTTCAATCAAGCAAAGAAGTGGGTGAGACTGCTTACAAGTCTTTTTTAGGTCAAGGACTGCTTACAAGTCTTAGTAATCAAATAAACAACATACAAGGAATCACTTTCGATATAAAAGGACCTAATGCACTTAGCCCAAGTCATGTGCAACCCTCTAAAGAGACTCCATAACTCAGCCTCAACAATATTTCCGGTCCCAAGAATAGCAGAAAACCCACATCTCCATGTTCCACTAGAGTCCCTTGGCAGACCAACATCAATTACAATGGAGGACTCCAGTGGATTTGAATGACTTCTCTTGTAGGCTTAATATTAATAACATTATTAATCTCAAACCACTCACTAGCAGAATGTAGAATATAGTGTGTGATGATGAGGATATGGCGGAGGCTCATAACCAGGTTTAAAAATGGAATTACATCTCCATTTCCAACAATGCCACCGAGAAGCAGTGAACAATGCTGCAGAATAGTGTGCTCCACCATAGTCTCAGGGAGTTCACAAAACAATGTTGAGTTATGGGCCATGATAGTCCAGGGGCCCATCATTTGGCAGCAATATGCTCTTTACAGTGCGACGTTGATTTTATAATGGTCGAAGCAATGCCAGTTCTTTCTTTTAGATTATTATTATTTTATTATCCATTATTTATGAATATTATTTTGGGTATGCATCACGCGGCTTTTTATATGTCTAAGTTGACATTGTCTACTGTGAGGCACTTTTCACTTTAATGCCAGTCTACCCTGTCCGGCTGATTCTTTCAGTTTCGGATCCGAGCGAAGGTTCGGTAGGTAGGTGGGAAAGCAAATATGGAGATGAGGAAGGTGAACAAGTCTCTGGAGCTGACCCAGGAAGAGTCAGAGTCCGTCTCGCAACTCGTCATTCCAGCTAAAGGATACGGTGAGTCGAGCTTCTACGAGGCTTTCGCTCTTCGAGGCATCCGACTGGATCGAGTCGAACCCGGAGTACTCGTCGTCTGTTCTTTCAAGGTCCCTCCCCGTCTCGCCGTGAGTCTTCTCGAAATTAATCACTTGAGCTACAAACTCTTACACTTTTTTTTCTTCATTTTTAGTCTTTAAAGGTTAGGTTCTTTTATTAACTTGGCTATTGAAAATATTTTGTTTAATATGAGAGAGTTTTAAATGTAAGTTTTTAAATTGTTCGCAGGATAGAAGTGGAAATTTGGCTAATGGTGCAATTGCAAACCTTATTGATATAGTTGGTGCTGCCGTAGCTTATGTTCCAGGCCATCCTTTGAATGTTTCTGTGGACATTTCCATCTCCTACATTTCAACAGCCAAACTTCATGTAAGTAAAGCTTTCCACTCCAGTCCCCATTTCTCTTTGATACGTGTCTGGTATTGATTAGAAATAATTTCTTTAGTTTTTTTCCTTTTTACTTGCAAAATTTGGTTGCAAATAAAATGATTGGGACAGGCACCAGTTCTTGTGTGCGCTTTGCGCATACGGCAACATGCTCAAATGGGTAGGACGAGAGTGTGTATGGTTGTATGCTTGACCTGATTCGAACCCTAGAATTTCTCCTAATTCTAAACCATTTCTCCAACCACTCTAGTTATTTAAGCTAACCCCAGCGGGCTTCATAATTTTGTCTTTCATTTGGGCTGCTATTTTGTGTTTCTAGTTGTGGGATTTACCATAATTACTTGTCACATGTATGTGGTGTATGTATTACGTGCATATGATCTTCGTATCGTTCTAATTTTATCAGATGTTCAAGAAGAGACTTATAACATATGATTATCTTTTTAATGCCAAATTGCAGGATGAGCTAGAGATAACTTCAAGAATGTTAGGACGAGTAGGAGGTTGTTCTGGAACAATAGTAATTTTGAGAAATAAAACAAATGGGGAAATTATAGCTGAAGGTCGACATTCATTGTTTCGTTCACATGTTGGTCTCATTCCCAAACTGTGAGTTTGTTTTGTCTTTCTGCAATTAATTGGTTTTTATTAAAAGCATGGCCAAGTTTTTGGGCTTAGAAGGACAGAGACCAGGTTATTGGCCTAGATTCTTCTTTATTGTACCATTCGTATTTGGCCTTTTTGTGACTTGATGCTAAATGTTGTAATCTTTTTCTTTTGGATATACTAGTGATTTTCTCCTTTGAATTTGTACCTCACTTTCAATTAATCTCCTATCCTTTTTTTTTTAGAAAATTAAGGATATTAACTTTTTTTTTCCCTCCAATTTCCCCCATACTGTCTAAATTACTCAACATTTCATCCAATTTTTAGTTAAATCATTTTTTTGCAAAAAAATTGAAGAAAAAGAGAAAAATTGACCCAGAAAAAAAGAAAAATGAAGAAAAAGACTCATGAGAACCCAGCCCCCGCCCCAGCTTGGCAATACCCACATATACATACAACAAAGAGACCTCTTCCACAAACCCAGAAACCCCTTCTGGTTTTTTACCGCTTCCCTACAAACCCACAAACCCCCTTCGATAGAGAGAGTATTTCAATTATGTTTTTAATTTTTAATTTATTTGTAATGTACAAAATGACCATTTTACCCTCATTTTTAACGACAAATTGTATGAAATGTTGTGAATTTAGACGAAGGGGGGAAATTGGGGGAAAAAAGAAGTTCATATCCTTAATTTTCTATATATATATATAAATAAAAAAAATAAAAAGATAGGGGGTTAATTAAAAGTTAGGTACAAGTTCAGGAGGCAAATCACTAGTATATCATTTTTTATTTTTTTTATTTTATCAAATAGAAACTTCATTAGATAAATTTCAACGGTACAATCAAAGACATCGGCAAAACATATAAAATACCAATCTTATGAGGGCAACAAACTAACATGCTAAAAGCAAAACTAACGCGGACAAAAGCCGCACTAAAACTATTAGGCAACATCACCACAATTGCCATAAGCCCAAACAAAGCCCACAAACCCAACATAACCAAGTCCCTAAATCAACCCATGAGCCTAAACGAACCTTACCACCACCACCTGAAGAAGCGCCGTCGAGGCCACACCCACGACTGCATCCATAACAGATCTTGGGAAAATATGATTTTCAGCGATCTATTTGCTCATAAGAGCAAACAAATAAACGAAAACAACAACTTTGCCAAAGAACAATTGGGTGATTTGCAGCAACCTCCGTCAAAGACGATGTATAATCAAATTTAAAGAACATGAGGGGCGTTACGGAGCGGGTTTTAGGAGTAGGACTTGATTAAGAACATAGACTAAAAGAGGTGATGAGGAACTTCAATCTAACAATGGCTTAGAAGAAACCACCGTAAGGGGCATTAATGCCTTAGTGGACTTATTCACTAACCTAAAAGAAAAGGACGTGAAAAGAGGAGAAGGAGAAGGGTAGTGACGCTTCTTCCTTCTCCCCATATATGGAATTTTCCTTTAGGACTCACAAAGGGAGAGAGCGGCTAGGGTTTGGGAGATAAATGTTGTAATCTTTAATTCAAGGAAAATGTTATTTGTACTCAAAATTAAGTTTTCACACTCTTGTGCGCAACATTGACACATGAAGGGTGCAAGTACTTCAAGCAGACAAGGCCTTTACCCAACTTAAATCAAGAAATAATCGAGATGACGTCATATCCAAGATTAAAAATCAAGTTAGATTTGAGTGGATTCGAATTAGTTCAACCCAAGTTGTACCCTTAACTTATTTTTTGGGTTACAAAGCATGGGGAAGCCAAAGACAAACAAAAGAAGAAACTAAAAAAACACAACCCTATCTTGGGCCCTTCCTAACTCATCACCAAGCAAAATGCTTAAGATGGAGTTAGAAGCAGACTTATAGAGGTGAAGACCCAAAGATAAACCATGCCCTTGTTTTGCTCGCTATACACATGGCATACATCACATCTCCAGTACAGATGAAAACAAGCATGTTAAGGGCCGAGTATGACGATACCATCCCTGTTCCTTCTTCTCATCCGTGCCCCAGTTCCCGATATGAATATTCGGGGAATCCTTGTCCCTGTCTTTATCAGGGGATGGTATCATAAACTTGGCCCAACTCATTTTCTAACATTTTTAAAAAATATATCCATATTATAACATTTAAATTTCACCTTAAACTATCATTCAACTCATCAATTATAGTCTTGGCCAAAAAAAAAAAAACTCATCAATTATAGTCAGTTGAACTACAAAATTTCACTCAACTACTTAAAATAATCCCAATTTAATTTGACAAGAGCAGTAAAATCATATTATAATAAATAAAAAAATAAGGTTAATTTTAGTTTAGTACCCTAAACTCTTACCCTTAAGGTATGTTTGTCCCTACACTCTTAATTTTAACAATCATGTACCCTAATCTTTTTAATTTTTTGTATTTTGCTTCCGGCGTTAATTTCACAGTTAAGATTTTTATTAATTGCCTACGTGGCAGGCTTGGGTCCCACCTATTCGCTTCTTTTGATCTTAGTTGAAGGGTATTTTCGGGGCATTGATGTCTTCCGCAAGTATTGTTGTTAAAAACCCAACACATTTTCTGCAAGTTTGGGCGGGAAGAACAGAGACTGGGTTATTGGCCCAGATTCTTCTTTATTTGGCTTTTTTGTGACTTGACGCTAAATGTTGTAATCTTTAATTCAAAGAAAATGTTATTTGTACTCAAAATTAAGTTTCCACACTCTTGTGCGCAACAGTGACACATGAAGAGTGCAAGTACTTCAGGCTAACAAGGCCTTTACCCAACTTAAATCAAGAAATACTAGGGATGACGTCGTATTCAAATTCATGAATGTTTTTATCTTTTCTAACATATTCAATCGGGATTAAAAAAGCAAGTTGAATTCATGATTCGGAGAGTATAATTCAAGTGATTAAGAACATTTACTCATACACATTTTTCCGCTAATATCGATTGTATCAACTCAAATATCTGAATCGGCTCAACCCGATTTGGACCCCTAATTTAAAACCGAAACAATGTTGGGTTATGGCCCATGAGTGAGTTCGCAAATGTCCGAATCTAATGCAACTATTGGAACCCGCAGTCCAGGCCTCAACGGTAGGCCCATCATTCCTCAGACGTAACCGATCACGTGCCGTCATTTTCGAGCCTGCAGCATGCTCTTTACATTGCGACGTTGATTTTCCAGTGGCCGGAGCGAGTCTTGAGAGAGATGGATCCGAACGACGAAGGTAAAATGGAGAGGGCGAAGAAGTTTCTGGGGCTGAGTCAGGACGAGTCCGAGGCCGTGTCGCGACTCGCCGTTCCAGAACGGCAAGCGGGCGAAGGGAAGAGCTTCTACGACACTTTCGCTCTTGCAGGCAACAGAGTCGTCCGAGTCGAACCCGGACTCATCGTCTGTAATTTCAAGGTCCCTCCCCGCCTCACTGTAAGTCACTCGTTTGGTTGTATATGCAAGTACATTTTCGAATTAATTTCTTCAAAATTCAAATTGAAAATGGGTTCTTTAATTTCAGGCCAAAATTTTGAGAAGAATTTTTGTTTAAAACTTAAAAATTTAGGTAATTTCAGCTGTAGCTTGATAATTTTTAGTTGGTAATTTGATATTATTTTGCTTAATTAGTTACTCCATGAAAGTTGTAACTCACGTTGTATTGAGATTTGTTCCACTAATTGCCTTGAGTTATATTTAATTATTAAAAGTTCTCGTCTTGTAGCTACTCTATGCATGAACAATCATTTCTCCTTACAAATTGAGGACAAATTTCAAATTTACAATTTAACCATAAGAGCAAATTAGTGTTCTTTAACTATTGGGTCTCTTCCCATAATGGCTAAAGTTTTTGAGTTGAATTATTTTGACATTGTGCGAAGCTTAAACTTCTGCATTGCCCTTTTGAATATGATAAGGTGTTAATCATTCTAGACTAGGAAGGAGCTGAAAACCTCACTTTAACAGCCTCTGGTCACCTGAAGAAAGATAATTTGTGTATGCATTTCACAGCCCGAAATCGGGTCTTGAATGTGGGTTGAGCATGCCATAGACTTAGTTGAACTAAGTGCCTAGTACAACCATGTTTAACTTATGAGATCTCTCGACCAAGCAGCTTTGATTTTTGTGTTGGACACTTCTGTACAATTGGTAATTTTTTATGCCAAATATTTTATTTTGGTTCTTTAATTTGTTTGCAGGATAGAACTGGGAAGTTGGCCAGTGGGGCAATTGCAAACCTGGTTGATGTTGCCGGTATATCCGTAGATTTTGTTGAGGGTCTACCTATGAATGTTTCAGTGGACATGTCTATCTCCCATCTCTCAACTGCCAAGCTTGATGTAAGCAAAAGCCTTCCCCTCAAATCCCCATTTCTCTTTGACATTTAAGCAAGCCTCCCCAACAGATTTTCTCTTTGACATCAAATGTGGCTTCAATTGATCAGAAATAAGTCCATTCATATTTGTATTTGCAGAATGTGGTTGTTAAAATGGTCACCAATCCTAAAAAATATTGTGGTTATCACTCCCATGTATAGAGCACCTGATCTCTCTTGGCTATTCTTCTCTGTTTCTAGTGTTTTGGATCTTCTTGATTGGTGGTGAGCTACCACGACATTATTTGACGTTGGATGAGTGTGATTTAATTTACATGCTACAAGAATCGCAAAAATTAAACTCATCCAACTGCCGTTAATGTGGTAGCAATTCTCACCACCAATTAAGGGAGGTGAGCTAAAACGTTCGCTTGATACAAAATCTGCATTTAATATTTCTGACTTGCTATAACATCTGACTCTCTGTATCGTTCCAATTTTAGCGGATGCCCCGAAAGGACTATTAACATATGACCTCTCATAATGTCAAAATTGCAGGATGAGTTAGAGATCATCTCAAAAAGGTTAGGGCAAAGAGGAGGTTGCACTGGAGCGTTGGTACTTGTGAGAAACAAAGCAACTGGTGAGATTATTGCTGAAGGTAGACTTTCAATGTTTCGTACACAAGCTTCTAGCAAACTCTGAGTCTTCCGCACATATATATATGAATTATATCCGGATTAAAAGAACTGCTTGTGGGGGGTGGGGGAACAAGTTTGAATCTCCTTTGGGATTGCTTTCTATTTATAGTTGATTATTTTTTATTGATTAAAGATTCAGAATGTTGACAATGCTATGGATCAACGTTCACGGCGCAGTTGCTGGCCTTGGAAGGACAGAGACCAAATGACCAATTGGTTATTATTGGTCTATTCTTCCCCATTGTATTGTATCTATTATTCTTTATTGGCCTTCTATTGACATGGATGCTAAACTTTCTAATGTTTTATATAGGGAGTGTAAATGGTAGCTCTTGCCTAATTTGTGTTTTGTTTAATGGTGAACCATGCTTCAATTCAATGCTCTAATGAATATGCGAAAGTTGTATTCTTTTTAATATTAAAATGAAGAAACATAATCAAATCGTATGGTTTGCTATAGACAACTGACCATTCCCATTTCAATTAGGGATTTTTTTATTATAAAATAAATAATTTATATAATAACAAGAAAGCATGAATGAAAATTTATATATATATATAGAGAGTAAAAGGTAGAGAAGTCATTTTGTATTTCATAATGAAAAGAAATAAGGGTGGAAGAAGTATCTATTTAAGAGTTCTAAAAACAATTTCAATATATTTAGAGTTTTTTTTTTTTTAATAATCTGTAAACTATTCAAACTTCTCACTCCACAAATTTGATCTATCGTCCTTATCATCATATTTCATCAAAAATTTTGTTTTGGCTAAAAAGAAAGTAAAATTTTCATTAAAACTAATTGCGTGTAATCACGTGACAAGTAGGCCATTTACATTCAATTTACACTTTCACTTGACAAGAAAAGTATAACACCAATAGGGTGTTAGTTTGATTGACACACACCGTGGTTCTAAGTTCAAGTCCCAATAATACCAGTGTACATGAACCGTGCATGTGAGTTTCACTGCACCCCTTCCTAACTTTGACAAATTGAAAAAAATAAAGAAAAAAGTATAACTATTAACACGTTATCTGAAAACACCAGTACAAATATGCCATTTGAACTGAAATGTCCACCTTAAACCTCTATCTTTCGCCAAATTTACAGACCCACCTAAAGCACTTTAAACAAAACAAGAGGGCAGTCGCCGTAATTTTCACAGGACAACATTTTACACCCGATTTTCGTCGTCACTCAGTCATCTGCTGACTGTGACTTTCTCTGCCGTCGCGCCACACACCATGAACTCTGCAATCCGCAGTTCTTATCTCACTCTTTCTCGAGACCGAAGCGTTCCGATACCCGAAACGCCGAAGCTACAACCTTTTCCGCGTTTCTTCGACTCGACGAACCGAAACAACCGATTCCGAGACGTTTCTTGCTGTAGCTCGCTGCTGAGAACTCGACTTCGGCATGACTCGGCTGAGTTCCGCACCTCTCTCTCGCACCGAGTTGGGGTTTCTTCCAAAAACGCTCAGTTTGATTCGTTTCCGGACGAGAACGAAGCTCAGGCGCCGAGTTTCGCTGAGTTCATCACCTCCGAGAGGGTCAAAGTGGTGGCGATGCTTGCTTTGGCTTTGGCTCTCTGTAACGCGGACCGGGTTGTGATGTCGGTGGCGATTGTACCGTTATCGCTCTCTAACGGTTGGAGCCGATCGTTTGCTGGTATTGTTCAGGTGATTTTGCTGCTCATATATTTTTTCAGCTGTTTGGTATATCTCTTTTAATTCTGGTTGAAGTAAAATTCTTCGAATTTACGATATCTAGAAGCACAAAAAGTTTGAATTTTGTAATGCCTTTCAGTTGAAGGACTGATCATATCTCTTAAATAAATTTGTTACAGAAATGAAAAATGCAAAATGAGTAATTTGCTTAGGTTGACTTCCAATCACCAAAGAATTGACCAAAAATTATCTAACAAATAATTGGTGATTGATTTTACTGGGGAGTGGAGAAGCTGTTAAAATATCTGAAAATGTTCAATCTTTCGACTTAATGTACTGTCAGCAGTGCTATTATTTTAGCTAAAACAGTTTAACTCATGGGTTTTCAAGAAAATTGCTCTAAAAATTTCATTTCTATGAGAGTACATAGTCTAAAGTACTTGAAACTTATTGGAAAAATACCTTATGGCAGTCATCTTTCCTTTGGGGGTACCTCATATCTCCCATAGCTGGAGGGACTCTTGTGGACTATTATGGTGGTAAGGTAGTCATGGCCTGGGGAGTGGCTTTGTGGTCTTTAGCTACCTTTCTGACACCATGGGCTGCAGAGACTTCTCTATGGGCTCTCCTTGCTATGAGAGCTCTCCTCGGCATTGCAGAAGGAGTGGCTCTTCCTTCCATGAACAACATGGTAGCAAGGTAAGGATGGCCTACAAACTTGCTTTCTTTATTTTCAATTTACATTAAATCAATATACAAGATGTGCTTCCGAACAGGTTATTTTTTGGTTAACAGTAGGTGAAGATAAGAAGTTAATCGAAGTATCAACTTTTTGTTTCAGATGGTTTCCTCAAACTGAACGAGCCAGGGCTGTTGGGATTGCAATGGCTGGATTTCAGCTTGGAAGTTCAGTAGGACTCATGCTTTCTCCAATCCTCATGTCACAAGGTGGTATATTCGGACCATTTGTGATTTTTGGTTTATCCGGGTTTCTTTGGGTTTTGGTATGGTTATCTGCAACATCAAGTACTCCTGACCGAAATCCTCAGATATCAAAATATGAATTGGAGTACATATTGAATGAGCGGAAGAAGTCCTTGGTAGAGAATAAACCTAAGACAACCAAAGTGATCCCTCCTTTCAGGCGCTTGCTTTCTAAACTGCCAACCTGGTCCCTAATAATTGCAAATGCCATGCATAGCTGGGTAATGCATATATCTCATGCCAGGTTATTCTACTCTGAGAATCATATTGTTATTGCCCCTTACATGCGTTGAATATATCATCATCTAAGCGGGGGCAAACTTTCTTTAGATAGTTCTTGTGTCCATTCATTTTTACATTTTACCCTTGTGTGGAAATTATATGTCTACACGAACTCATTATTGTTTTTTAACTTTTTTCAAATTGTGCAGGGTTTTTTCATTTTTCTTTCCTGGATGCCCATTTACTTCAACTCAGTGAGGCCTAATACCTAGTTATAATTTCTTTTCCGCTCCGTATTATGAGGGTTGTGTAGCTTATGTATGACTCACCACTACAGGTGTATCATGTTGACCTCAGACAAGCCGCTTGGTTTAGTGCTGTTCCATGGACTGTCATGGCAATCATGGGATATATTGGTGGGTTGTGGTCAGACATAATGATACGGAATGGCATGAGTGTCACTTTAACTCGAAAGATCATGCAGGTATGTCTAAGAAATAAAATTTGATATACTAGGTCTACTGTAATGCGGCCTTTGACTAAAAGGCTGATGGTCCTCCATAATCTGAAGGTCTCACTTCAAATAGGAATTGGATAATCAATAGAATAGATGAGAAAGAAACTTTCCTAGTTCGAGCTTATTTGCAAAATTTATGTTGTATACTTGTAATCTGGAAATTTAGTATGATCAAAAGTTCTTCTCATCTTCTGTGATAATACCATAAAGAAAAAAGAAGTAGCCCTGTCAAAGTTGTTCTTTTAAGAAACTATATATACCATATGAAATTAATTTCTGGTCATGCTTTATGGAATGTGAATATTTGTTCCTTCTCTGCAGTCAATTGGTTTCCTTGGTCCTGGGATAGCTCTTGTGGGTTTAACTACAGCAAAAAGTCCAGCAGTTGCATCTGCTTGGCTTACTTTAGCAGTAGGGCTGAAATCTTTTAGCCACTCTGGATTTCTTGTGAATCTTCAGGTTGGCATAGTGATATTTGAGTCATGTATCTGTTAGTACACTTAGAATTGATTCTTCACTTTTTCTGTGCCTTAATTAATTATTTATTTCTTTAACCAGGAAATCGCTCCACAATACTCTGGTGTTTTACATGGTATGGGAAACTAGAATAAAATTTTCAATATATGAAATGCTTCGAGAGCGTAGTGTAAATCAGTGAAATACTAATATTATAACTTTGTACAATAAATTATCAACCCTTTGTTTTTGTGTTAGGAATTTCAAATACTGGTGGAACATTAGCTGCCATTTTGGGAACCGTTGGAGCTGGTTTCTTTGTTGAACTTGTGGGTTCTTTCCAGGGATTTCTGTTGTTTACATCACTCTTATATGTTCTTGCTGCCCTTTTCTACAACGTATTTTCTACTGGAGAGAGAGTAAATTTTGATGAACCTAGTAAGTATTATTGTATTTTATTGATTGTTTGAATTCAATATTCCAACCGACCCCACCCCCTTTTCCTTTCTGGAGGGTTCTAAACTCTTTTTAGTTGGATTTTGTAGGATTAATGTCTGTTACATGACACTGTCTTTGCAAAAACCATACGTGTAGTTTTCAGTCACCAGATGTTAGCTTTCTAAACATTTTAAGGAAATACTTTGATTTTGGAATATGGTCAAATTCATGGAACCGATTTTATGGGTGTAACTATGGGGATATAAACGATGATCAATTTGTTATTGCTTTGTTATACTTGTACCTTTTAAGCATTACACATTTTTATATTCCTGATGTTTGTGCATTAATTTTGCTTGACAGCTCATGAATGATATTCTGAGACTGCTGGTGCTGGCAACATCATATCGCTTGTCGGTTATACTTGTTCAACTGTGACTAATGGAGCAGACTTATGGAATTGGACAGAATGTGGGAGGGCAGACATGAGGAATGGTACAGAATGTCGGAAGCCATCCTCTGTGTCGATAAATAACCTTTTTGTCCTTTGTATGAATCCAAAATGTGTACAGTGGATTTTTTTTAGTGTTCCTCTTCCTCATGCATCAACAGTTTGTTTCAGGTGCACATGGGGATTCTGTTTACCAAATTTTGTAAAAGACATGTATAAATGTGTTTCAGAGGTATGATGCTGGATTCACTCTTCTGTTACTGTGTTTCAAAGATGTTGTTAGTTCCCCCTGTTGTCTTCTACATTAATCAAGAACGACTGACGGTAGCATTCTCTTTCTTAACCGATATCCAAATTTAAATTAATATGTCAAATGTCTCAAATCAATCATTGGGCTCTCTGGGTATTTTCGTTCTGGAAGTAATGGCTTCTAGGCCCACACTTGAGTTGTGTTGAGGATGTGCCAGTAACGACTATTAAATACTGTCCAATATTGACCAAATAATATAAAATATTCTTAATTTTGTTTTTGGGCTACCTTATAAAATTCTTCCACTGACCGAATCATACAAAGTTTAAAAAATTCAAATTACTGTTGCTGAGTTGTCTTTCATTAGACATGGAATCACGACTAATTGCTTGAATTAGTCTCACAATGCATAAACATTTGGCCAAATCCAAAAGTTAAGTCTTTAAGAAACATCGACATTCATGTAATAAATTTATAGGTGAGATCCATAAATACAAGAAGGCTGAATATAAACAACAAATGCCAATTTCGTTACATTCCAGCAAAAGATATGATCAATATCACATCAGTAGGTCAACAGTTACTACATAAGTTCTGGAAATGAAGAACACACCTAGTCCTCATAATCTGCACTCAAACAGAAGAAAACCAATTCCCAATTTCCAATATGAAGATGCCAACAACAACAAACCCAAGCACCAGAGATTTGCTGCCCTGAAGGCTGCTGTGAAGAAAGTTGCTGGCGTTTTTAAAATTCTTCTTTTTGGACAAAGAGAGGCCATCCCAAAAGGTGCTGCTGTGATTGATGCAAGAAGAACTAATACCCGAATCAGCGGGATTTCCTGTAAGTTTCATGTTGGTTCTGCATCAATCTGATATTATCATGCATATCGCAGATTGGTTGGTAGATGCTATAGCTATATATAGTGCATAGAATGGTTTAGCTGGTGGGGTTCTTTCAAAAGTCAAATATCATGCAGAGAGAATTGATTTTATTGATAATTTCTTGTACCCTGCAGCTTCAACTGATATTTCAACAGGAAGTGACACTAAGAGTAAGAGCTTATCAAAGTTTAAGCTCTCTCAGTCCAATAGTTCTTCAAGTGCTCTGAGTGGAGTAATTGAGACGAAGAATTTTTCTTACGAAGAGATTTTCAAAGCAACCGAAAAATTCTCTCCCGCGAATAAGATTGGTGAGGGTGCATTTGGAACAGTGTACAAGGGAAGGCTTGGAGATGGATCTCTTGTTGCTGTAAAGCGTGCCAAGAAGGTATAGACAACTATGCCTCGATAATTGTGATAGTACCTTATACAGATTATTGCAATAATAGCATTGCTTAAGCTTCCCTTTTCTTGAAAGAATTTATAAGTAGAATCATTGGTATGATGAGTAAATGATATCACTGTTGGAAACAGTTAGTATTCTTTGAAATTGCTAAAGCATGGTTAGGACAATAGTTAATGTCATTTGCTGTTTTCTTGCAAAATGACTTCAAATTTTGTGCAGGCCACATATGACAAGCTCATAGCATTGGAGTTCAAGAATGAGATACTTACCTTGTCCATGATTGAACATCTGAATTTGGTAAGGTTATATGGATATTTGGAGCATGGAGACGAGCGGATTATAGTGGTTGAATATGTTGGCAATGGAACGCTTCGGGAACATCTGGATGGTAAGTCTTTTGAAAACTAGTTATTAAACTCTAGAGGGTTAGTCAGTAGAAGCCGAAAATCAGAAATAGCCGAGTATCTGGTAGACATAAATTCAGGTGGAATATGTAAGTTTCTACTGAGAAACTGGAAATCTGACAATATGTAACAAAAAGAGATAGATAAATCAACTAGAATGAGAAATTATGTCTACCTATCATATCTAGTTCTGCTTACCATGACTGGTGAAGGATCATCGGTAGTGTTCTGTTTCCTTTATTCTTCAGTTGAAAAAAATTAGCTCTTTTAGTTGTCTGGTTGGGTTTTACATGAAGCTCAGAACACCTTTCCCAATGTGGAAGCTCTGTATCTCTCTCCTATTGCTGTGGTCATTAGATAGTCTGAATATCATTAGAACGAGAAAGTTCTAAAAATATAGTCTAGAAAAATCATGTTGATTAAACAGTCATCTATTCATGAAGGTTCACTGGGAAATGGACTTGAAGCCGGAGAACGTTTGGACATTGCTATTGATGTGGCTCATGCAATTACCTATCTTCACATGTATACAGGTATGTACATAATTATCAGTCCAAAGTACGTACTCGGGCCAAATTATCCTCCAAAAGTCTATGTTAGGCAGCTTCATACTTGTAGTACATTAGTTCAGGCATCGATACAGAGGGCTTTTCATCTTGCTCCCCATTTAATCTGAATTTATGGACTTCATTGTAGAAGCCCACATACTTTGAGCTTTCCTCTTGTTATATTATGGAAAGCAAAATAAGCAGAAGGCAGGCCTGTTTTAACATGTGCACATCTTGGTCAAGAACAGAACTCCTTGTGATAATTTCTTATTATCGTAATGGCATTTGACAACCTATAATCTCTCATGTATTTGACAGATCCTCCGATAATCCACCGAGACATAAAATCATTAAACATCCTCATCACAGAGAAATTTCGGGCTAAAGTGGCCGACTTTGGGTTTGCACGATTGTCAGCAGACCCCAATGCAACTCACATTTCAACTCAAATAAAAGGAACAGCAGGATACTTGGATCCCGAGTACCTGAAGACTTATCAACTCACTGAAAAGAGTGATGTTTATTCCTTTGGTGTCTTGCTTGTAGAACTGATGACAGGAAGACGGCCCATCGAACCACAAAAGCCAGCCAATGAAAGATTAACAACAAGATGGGTAAGAATACAAGTGTTTAAGCATCCTGAGATCGGTAAATGAACATGAAAATGGAAATCTGTCGAGCTGTCTTTTTCTGGGTTTGTGTGTTACTTTGCAGTAAAAATTGCCCAAATTTCCATCTTACATTTTTATTCAGTCATTGCTGAGCCTGGAGTTCCTTTACTTTGGACATTCATCACATGTTTCTGCAGAGCATAAAGACGGATCACATCGGTCCAGCTCTCGTAACACCCACCTTATTCCTTATGCTGCACGTGAGACATTCATCAAATCAAACCACCATAGTTGCATTTGCCCATTTCATCTTCCTCTTCAGATGGTCTGTTCCCATGTGTTATAGACGAACATTGGATAATGAAGTGTTATGAACCAAACATCAGCCAAACCATCCAATAGTTTTACTTTAAACTAATTGTTCTTTTTTGATGAATTTCCTTAAACTAATGAAATGACAATATTGCATCAAAGAAAGAAGCTTCCGATCATTATCTTGTCAACCATAAATTAACAATATGTTCATCTGCAGGCAATGCAAATGTTGAAACGAGGAGACGCCATACTTGTCATGGATCCAAAGCTACGGAGAAATCCAGCATCAACCATGGCGTTGGAGAAAATTCTCATGCTAGCTAAGCAATGCCTTGCACCTTTAAGACAGTCAAGACCCTCCATGCAAAAATGTGCTGAAATCTTATGGGGAATTCGCAAAGACTTCAGAGAAAAAGCCCTCTCTCCTTCTTCTACACCTCACTACTCTGCCAATTTTCCTGTGAGAGATGCAAAGAAGACTCGGCAGACATCATTTGGGATTGAAGATGGCGATAGCTATAAGTTTATCTCTGCCTAGCTAATAAGAACTTAAAGGATTTTTTTGCTCACACATTGTTTTTTCTTTTGTTCATGCATTACTAGATCTATGTAAAGTCTTGTGTATAAAACCCAATTATTCAATATTGAATTTGAATGGCAATCAGATTTTATGTTTTCAGTGTCTGTTTCTATCTTAACATTTGAGAGGACATGTAGAACCCAAACACAAACTTTTGGGAAAAACCCTTTTAACATTAGGTAAGTTATTCGCCTCAATCATACAAGGAAAGAAAAAAACTTTCCACTAGCATATATAGACTATATTTACTAACGCACGCAAGTGAATCTCACAATGCATCGACGGTTGATAGTAATTATGCGCGCGTATGGGCATCCAAGGAGTATAACTTCAACTTTCATTGAAAAATTCTTACATGCACACGTGATCATAGGTACCTTAATCAAATGCAGCCACGTATCGTCCATTCCTCAAGTTCTAAAAAGGCAAAAAGAAAATATCAAAATCTGATCCCCAAAAGAAGCAAAGCGTGGCATGTGTACCTTACTCACTCCCAGTCCGCTCTCTTTTGGCTCCATTTTCATGTGATCGTTCACGTTCACTTCACTCACTTCACTCACTCTTTATCACTCCAACGGAAACATTAAAATAATAAAAACCACTTTTCTTCTTCTTCTTCTTCCTCCTCCTTCATCTCTCAATCTCTCTCTGATATTTCTGTTCAATTCCAAAACTCTCCCTCTGTCTCTTTGTCTCTTTCCCCATAAAACTCTCTCTCTTTCTCTCTCTTTTTCTCTCATTTGGATCCTTTATGAAAATATCTCCTCCCTCCTCCACTCAGATTCTCTCTTAAATTCCTTTATGCTCATCATTTGCAGTTGATTATAAGACCTCACAAACCAAAACCAAAACCAAAAGCAACTTCACAAATGTAATTTTATCTCTCTCTCTCTCTCTCTCTCTCTCTGTGTTTTGGTTTTAAGAGTTTCAATTGACACTAACTTTTGCTTCAATTTCAGAGACTATATTGACGATTGAGAAGCTGTGTTCTGCTTAGCCATGGCGGCTACTGCGAAACCGAACGGTAAAAGCATCACCGACTCTGACATTTCATCCAAGATTCCAGCAACCGCGAATCCTTTAGCCGAAGAACCATCGCAGATTGCTTCGAACATCAATTACCACGCGAAATTCAGCCCTCACTTCTCGCCGTTCAAGTTCCAGCCCGAGCAAGCCTACTACGCCACCGCCGATAGCGTCCGTGATCGTCTGATCCAAGTACTGTTCGCCAATTTTCAGCCTCGGGGTTCGGTTCATGGCCGATTTCTATTTTTGAATTTTGTTTGGTTGATTTTTGTAGCAATGGAACGAGACGTACCTGCATTTCCACAAGAAGAATCCCAAGCAGACCTACTACTTGTCCATGGAGTATCTTCAAGGACGAGCCTTGACCAATGCGATTGGGAATTTGAACGTTCAGAAAGCTTATGCTGACGCTTTGAATAAGCTGGGGCATGACCTCGAGGAAATAAGGGAGCAGGTAATCTCAGAAATTTTCAGTTCTTTAAAATGATTAAAATAAATATGTAATCTTTAGCCTAAAAAATCTTTACGTAATGTAAAGATTGAGTTTTTGTTATTTCACGTAATTAAAAGTTGTGTGTGTACTTTTATTTTATTGAATTGAATTATATTGGTTTACCTCAGGAGGTTGTTAATCATTTGAAATGGATCTTAACTGGTTTTCATTATTTGAACTCGGCGTGCAATCTGTTGATCGATGATTGTTAGAAATGAATCTTTGTAGGAAAAAGATGCTGCACTCGGAAATGGTGGCCTGGGAAGGCTTGCTTCGTGCTTTCTAGACTCCATGGCAACGTTGAACTTGCCAGCGTGGGGATATGGTTTGAGGTACAGATACGGGCTGTTCAAGCAACGGATCGCCAAGGATGGTCAAGAAGAAACTGCTGAGGATTGGCTAGAGGTTCTATATCACCTCAATTTCTGTAGAGTTTTGTGTATTTCATGAATTCTTACTGATACTTTATTCGATGGAACTTATGCAGAAGTTTAGTCCATGGGAAGTTGTCAGGCATGATGTTGTCTACCCTGTCAGATTCTTTGGTCGAGTTCACGTCAATCCTGATGGATCGTAAGTGTTAAATTAAGATTTCATTTATATAAATAAAAAAAAGAATTTATGTCAAAATAAAAGACTTTAGCACACTCCAAGAGTGCTTCTTTATCAATTATCATATTCACATGCAACTTGGTTGGTTGCTTTAGATATGAATGCATGAACCTAGCACTAATTGTCTTATGATTGTATTACAGACGAAAGTGGGTTGAGGGAGAGGTTCTGCAAGCTCTGGCTTATGATGTGCCAATTCCAGGATACAAAACCAAGAACACTATTAGTCTTCGTTTATGGGAAGCCAAAGCATCTGCTGAGGATTTTAACCTATTTCAATTTAATGATGGACAGTATGAATCTGCTGCACAGCTTCATTCTCGAGCTCAACAGGTTGGTTAATTAATATCCTAACGGCAGGTAGTCTTGGAAGTGCTTGCCATTCTTTTAAATAACACACAATGTTTACCTTTTTTAATTATACGTGTGTGTCCACTAATCTTCATGTTTTAAATGTTTTCTTGAACCAAATTGTATGAAATTGTGGTCTTGCAGATTTGTGCTGTTTTATATCCTGGAGATGCCACAGAGGATGGGAAACTTTTAAGGCTGAAGCAACAATTCTTCCTGTGCAGTGCATCACTTCAGGTTGGTTAATTATTGTCTTAACCTTCATTGTTTTTGTTGGTGCAGTAGTGGCATCAACCCTTTTTTTTCATTTGATTTTTAGGACTATTTAATTAAAGTTGAGAAGGTGAAAAAAATCTCACACATTGAGGGAGAATTCCGAAATTGATGTTTTCCCTCACAATGGCGCTTTAGCTCAGCATTTCTGATTTTTATTTTCTAGATGCAAAAATACATATGAGTATTCTGATTAAGAGGCATTTTTCAGTTGCCAGTTTGTCATCCTATAAAGGAGTTGTGATCATCAGTCTTGTCATTTTGAAATTACAGGATATTATTTTTAGATTCAAAGAGAGGAAAGGGAGCACAGCCTCATTGCAATGGTCAGAGTTTCCGACAAAAGTTGCTGTCCAATTGAATGATACTCATCCTACACTTGCAATTCCAGAGCTAATGCGACTGCTATTGGATGAGGAAGGACTTGGGTGGGATGAGGCATGGGCTGTGACAACAAGGTGCATTATATTTCATGTTTTTAGACATACTTCACTGAAGTTATTGCCACACATTCTTCTTTCTTCCATTGGACAGCTCTCTGCTCTTTTTGCACAAGGAGTACAAAGTACTAACTCCTAATGATTGAACCAGGACAATTGCTTATACTAATCACACAGTCCTTCCTGAAGCACTTGAGAAATGGTCACAACCTGTAATGTGGAAACTTCTCCCTCGCCATATGCAAATAATAGAAGAAATTGACAAAAGGGTAAAATTTGTCACCTTTTTTCTTGGTTATACTTATATTTATATAAAACCTTTTTCTAAATATAGAATCTGGAATTCTTACAGTTCATTGCTACAGTACATGCTACACGAACTGATCTTGTGAGCAAAATTCCTAGCTTGTGCATCTTGGATAACAATCCCCAAAAGCCTGTTGTGCGAATGGCAAACTTATGTGTAGTGTCAGCTCATACGGTAAGACATCCAGTTTGGGAAATTTACATGTATCTCCTGTAGCTTACTTGACTGGTTCTTTTAGTTGTCTTCACCATAAACACATGGTATCCTTATCTAGCTATAAGAAAGCTTCCAGCTTCTTTCAATAGACTTTAAAACAAGGCAAATTATTCCTTTTTTTCCCCTTAAAAAAAGGGTGAGGAGGGCAAGCAATCTCATGGGAGGGGCTTCAACAAAAGAGATTACAAGCACCACACTGTCTAAGACTAAGGTACGGTCCACCATGCGTTGGAGAGACTCGAGCTTAGGCTTTGAACAAGGAGAAGCGAGTTACATTCGAAGTGGTGGTCTGAATATTTGACAATTCTATGTTATCTCGGACTCCTATCTTTAGTAAAGTTTAAGACGTGACAATTTGGAGTGTTGAAATATTATATAGAGCATATAGGCTGATATCTCGCCTCAGATTCATCCTTTATTTCCAAATCCTCTCTCTGTTTTTTATTTACAGTTATCTATAACATAGAATTTCATGACGTATGAAAATTAATGTTGTTCTGCTTTCTGTTTCTTTTTCTCTCCCACAATCTAAGAAACCCTCACATTTGAGCTGTTGAATTTTGTTTAAGACTTTAAGAAACTTATTGATTCCCATGTCATTGTAGGTTAATGGTGTTGCCCAATTGCACAGTGATATTTTAAAGAATGAGTTATTTGTAGACTATGTCTCTATATGGCCATCAAAGTTTCAAAACAAAACCAATGGGATTACTCCTCGGCGGTGGCTCCGATTCTGCAGTCCCGAGCTCAGTAACATAATCACCAAATGGTTAAAAACTGACCAATGGGTGACCAACCTGGACCTACTTACAGGTCTTCGAAAGGTATATATATGTACAATTATTTGTCCATGTAGGAGAGTTGCTACAGTTGTATTATTAAAACTCTGTGTGTTTTCTCCAATAGTTTGCCGATGATTCAAAATTACAAGAAGAATGGGCGTCTGCCAAGTTGGCTAACAAGAAGCGTTTGGCACAGTACATAGAGCATACGACAGGTGTCCAGGTTGACCCAAGCACTCTATTTGACATACAAGTGAAGCGTATCCATGAATATAAGAGACAGTTGCTGAATATTCTGGGTGCAGTCTATAGATATAAGAAGTTAAAGGTATAAAAGGCATCTCCTTGTTACTTGACTATTCAGTTATGGGGAACAATCATCCTTGCTTGGTGATGCTACCCGTGATATGAACCTGCATGATCCTCCAACTTGATTTCTGTATAGTCTTTGTCGATTTGTTCATAATGGTTTTGCACCTGCTAATTATACTTTATAATTTCAAGACCACATGCTGGCCCATAAATTTTCAGAGCCGATTCACCAAATAAATATATATTTTCGCTAAAGTTCCTTTTGCTTTTCGTTGTCATTTCTCAAGCATTCAAATTAGGTTGTGTAAGCAGTGTTCCACAGATTCTTTTTAAGGTTATATAATTGCATTTGTTAAATTTATGTATGATTTTTGAAAACTTGGCTGGATTTGAACTGTGGCAGGAGATGAGCCCTGAAGAGCGGAAGAAGACAACTCCACGCACTATCATGATTGGAGGAAAAGCATTTGCAACATATACAAATGCAAAAAGAATTGTCAAGCTGGTGGACGATGTTGGTGCTGTGGTCAACAAAGATCCTGAGGTCAATACCCACCTGAAGGTTAGTTATTTTCAGAGGTGCTTCATATCTTATATTTGCTTTCATTAGTACTGGACCTCTACTAAAGTTTCAATTCCCATTAGACAGAAAAATTGGGACCCTGGGTTGATTCTGACCTTTAACCACTAATTCTTCAGGTTGTATTTGTTCCAAATTACAATGTATCTGTGGCTGAGCTACTTATCCCCGGAAGTGAGCTGTCACAACATATCAGCACTGCAGGCATGGAGGCAAGTGGCACAAGCAACATGAAATTTGCTCTGAACGGTTGCCTCATAATAGGAACACTGGATGGGGCAAATGTGGAAATCCGTGAGGAAATTGGGGAGGATAACTTTTTTCTCTTCGGTGCAACTGCAGATGAAGTCCCTAAGCTGCGCAAGGAAAGAGAGAACGGACTGGTATGAGGATAACTTTTTTCTCTTTTGTTGATCTAGACTTTCAATGGTATTTATTTTAGTTTATTTTAAATGCATACCGGTAAACAATATCAACTCTTTCATATCTGACTTTTGCTCTTCTTATAAATCACTCAGTTCAAACCAGATCCTCGGTTTGAAGAAGCCAAGCAGTTTGTTAGGAGTGGAGCATTTGGGAGCTATGACTACAATCCACTTCTTGACTCTCTTGAGGGAAACACTGGTTATGGTCGCGGTGATTATTTTCTTGTTGGCCATGACTTCCCACAATATTTGGATGCTCAGGCAAAAGTAGATGAAGCTTACAAGTAAGATGTCAAACCTCCTAGCCTCTACAACTATTATCTGTTTGGTCCTGTATGAGAATTAATATATAAGATCTTCTCAAGTGTGGTCCATGTTCTATCAAATTGAGCAAAATTAGTTCTAGATTGAATTGCTGGTATTAACCACAATCCCAATGGATCAGTGGTTTCTTGAATTGCAAGTATTTACTCCAACCAGAAAAGAAAATATTGCAAGCATTTTACCCACTATGTTGAACTACATGTGCTGATCACTACCCCCTACCCCACTTTTTTATTAACCCTAGAGAGAGAGACTATTTCTACTGGTTTTGACACGGGGTGCCATTTTTCACCTGCAGGGATAGGAAAAAGTGGCTGAAGATGTCCATACTAAGCACTGCCGGGTCTGGCAAGTTCAGCAGCGACCGCACAATTGCTCAGTATGCCAAGGAAATCTGGAACATAGAAGAGTGCCGCATACCATAGATCCACCCATGCTGGTTCCGATGCTTATGTTAATGTTATGATTATGGCACAAGAAGCTTAAGGTAAAGAATAAAAGAAGCCAACAGAAGTAGCAACCGACATCATATGTTCCACTTTTGTTTTTCTCACTTTTTTTATATTCAATCATATGTTTCATTTTAAAACATTTTTTAGAGCTGGCATCTCTATGTATTTTCTTATGCCAACAGAAGTTCCAAATAAGAAAATAAATAAATTCTGCAACCAGATGTTGGCAAAAGTAGGTAATACCTTGCTACCATACCCTGTTCATATTGTTGTGCATGCCTTGTCCTTACTATGATTGTCTTCCTTATATTAGTAATTGATCAGTTCATGACTTCTTTACAATTTAGACTTGAAACTTCGACACTTATTTATTATTTCAAAACATTTTCTAACATGCCCATAATTTCGGTATATTATTATTTAGTTGGAATCTTTTCTAAGAATACCAGCATCTCAAGAGTGAAGTACAATCCCAAACTCAATTGTCTGCCATTACCAACATCGCCGAATCTCAAACCCCTTAAAAAGCTAGATGTGCAGAATAAACATATTTCATGATGAAGGTGAAGTTAGACCTAGGAGTAGCATATCTTGAACCGTATCTGAAACTTGCACTCAGCCTGCTTCGGTTGGTAGTAACTCCAGTCACTATTGGTGGAGTATCTTCACCCGGGCGAACGCCTGTAAGACCTCGAGCTCCTGTGTCTACGAGATGAACTTGGAGAGTGGCTCTCCCTTACTGTCTTCCTTTTTGGTTCAGGAGAAAGTCTGGGGTAGTTCCTCCTGTAACTCCTCCTAGGCCTAGGAGAGACACTATGCGAGTAGCTCCTCCTTGACCTTCTCCTTGCCCTAAGTGGACTAGGAGACCGCCTTCCATGGCGATACCTTCTTACGTGGTAAGAGTCATCTGGTGAATACTCTCTGGAGTCATATGGTGAGTCGGCCAGGTAACGGTGTCTCACTGGTGACCTGCTGTAAGAGTAAGGTCTATACCGATTGCACTGAGTACAGTATGTTTTGGGCAGCCGACTGTAGTAAAGAGATGCCCTCCGACGATTGTAGGAAGGAGATGCCCTCCGACGACTGTAATGTGGAGAGTATGACCTTCTCCTGCTTAGGTCAGATGAATAACTAGGTGACCGACTATAATGCCTCCGATGGTTAGAGTACATATGAGATCTACGAGGTGAGTAGCTGGGGGTTCTGTGGTGCACTACAACAAAATAACAGAAAATGTCACGATGGACAAAAGCTTTCCTGTCACTAGTTATACACAACTACGTTTGTATTTATTATCTCATCACGTGAATCATATAACAAGAGAGACGCATTGTTGTTCATATAAGATCTTGTCAATGCAGACATTAAAAACAACTTACGAGGAATTGTTTGATGCCCTCTTCCTGAAGTAGGAGTTCGCCCTCTCCTACCCTAAAATGAAGGAAAACAAGAAATCAATCATCTAGAAACCAACACTTAAAAAAAGTAAGAACATCAACCAAACAAATTAAACAATGAATAAAAACCAAGCTACCATGATTGCAAAAATAAAAATTATAATTATAGAAAAGGGTTTCAATCATACTTTAATTTCACTGAGTTAGAAAACTTACATGCAAATTGTTCATAGGATTATCCACGTCACTCCGTTGGGGGCTCCTGCAAGCCAAAGCAAAATGACTATCAGAGAAGGCAGTAAAATCAAAGATACATGAAAGGGACAGATGTAAAGCAGCTTGGTTGAAGTTGAAGCCACAACCTTGAGCTGGAAGAGCACCTCCAAACAGAACTCGGAGAACTTGGAAGGGATGAACTCGGAGAGGACGAAACAGAACTTGGAAAGGACGAACTCGGAGAAGACCACGAGAAGGACGGCGTGTAACTGCGGGGTTTGCAGTTCAAGTCAGACCTTATTAGAAACCAACATGGGCAAACCACTAAAAACATGAAACGAGAAAAACAGAAGAATTTCTGAACAAAACGCACCTTGACCTTCCGGAGTATGACATCTGAAGACAGAACAGGAACCCAAAAAAAAAGCCAGATTAGATTATTACACTGAAAAAAAAAACACCAAAGAAAGAAATAAAGAAACCCGAAAAACAACAAAGCATGACATGCCAGCACAATACAATGTAAGCAAAACTAATGACTAAACTGTACGTAAATGTTGATTGAAGTTCAACAACTGCTAATTAATTTATTTTGCATCCAATATTGAACAAAATCAGATCGTGTGCCATAGTTTGTTGTGATTCTCGTTGTCTCGACCAAATTAAACATAAATCGATCATCTAAAATAAGCTGCGATTAGGCTCTCAAGCACTATCATGAACATAATTTTTTTTTTTCAAATTGTTCGAATTTAGACTTCTTCTTTTTCATTTTTTTTTATTCAGAGAAAATTTCATTAACCTTTAAAATAAAGGCACAAACAGCCCGTACAATGTTACGTAACAAGAGGGCAAAAAGAGTAAAAAAGAGTGGACTCGTTAAAACCTTACCATTGTTTAAATATATATATATATATATATATAATTATTTTTTTATATCAAATAGAGGACATCTAAAATACCAATTCCAAGAGGACAACAAACTAACATGCTAAAAACATAACTAACGCGGATAAAAATCGCACTAAAACTAATAGCCCACATCACCACAATTAACCATAAGCCTAAACAAAGCCTACAAACCAAACATAACCAAAACCCTAAAACATCTCATGAGTCTAGACGAACCCTACAACCACCACCTGATGAAGCGCTGTCGCGGCCACACCCACTACCGCATCCGTAACAGACTACTTGAGCATAAGAGCGAACAAATAAATGAAAACAACAACTTTGTCAAAGAACAATTGAGTGATTTGATGATGTAGAATCAAATTTAGAGAACATGAGCGACGTCAAAAAGCGGGTTTTGGGAGCAGAATTTGATTGAGAACATAGACTAAAATAGGTGATGAGAAACTTTAATCTAACAATGGCTTAAAAAAACCACCACAATGAGCTTTTTTTAAAAACGCCTTAATGGACTTATTTACTAACTTAAAAGGAAAAGACGAGAAGAGAGGAGGGGTAGTGGCGTTTTTTTCTCCTCCCCCTCTATGGAGTTTTCCTTTAGGACTCACAGAAGGAAAAAACGGCTAGAGTTTCTTGGGAGCCTAAACCATTCTTGAGATGCAATAACATTGTATTTGATACACAACAAATATATGTCGATTTTATTATTAATTACCGAATTATTATAGTCACGTAAAAAAACACACTACGTACAGGACGAAACGCTTACCATAATAATTGATGGCAGAGAAATTCACCTCTCGCTCTCTCGCGCTACGTACGGATTTCACAACATGAAGCAGCAAATAAATAGCCCAGAGCGGTCTATATATAATAGGCGGGAGAGGAGGGAGCAGAAGCTAAATCCCTATTAGAATCCAATTTTAAGTTTTTCGTGGGCCGGGCCCTGTACGGACTAACTTTACAATACAAAATTCGAACTCGGGTGAAAAACGCACTGCCTTACTGACCTAATACTTCTACCGTTTTACACAGTTTTTTAGTTGTGACACGAGTTCATATCTCTTAATAAAGTACCATAATTGGAATTCAATTACTGATTCAGATTCAAATTCAAATTCCCGATTAGTAAACACAACATAAAAATATAATATCCGAATACCAGTCAGAGTACAAAGATAATACATTCCATATAAATTGTCCATCACTACCAACATCACGAAACCACAACCCCTACACAGCTAGATATTGAAAGTAAACATCCTTCACGATGAAGGTGAAGTAGAACTACGACTAGCAGATCTTGAAATATATCTGGAACTCGCACTCACACTCGGACTCCGATGTCTCAAGTAGCTTCTCCTAGACGATTCCCTGTAAGACCTTGAGCTCCTGCGTCCAGGAGATACACTTCGGGAGTAACTCTTCCCTGACCTCTTCTTTTTCGGTTCAGGTGAAACACTAGGGGAGTAAATACTCCTAGAGGACCTCCTAGGCCTGGGCGAAGGACTAGGGGAGTAGGGGGAGTAACTCCTCCTAGATGTCCTCCTGGGCCTGGGCGAAACACTGGGTGAGTAGCTCCTCTTGTAACTCCTCCTGGGCCTGGGAGAGATGCTGGGTGAGTAGCTCCTCCTTGATCTCCTTCTTGCCCTTGGAGAGACACTAGGAGAAACATACCTCCTTCCGTAGTACGAGTCATCTGGTGAATACTCCCTGTAACGATGCCTCCTCCCATAGTAAGAGTCATCTGGTGAATACTCCCTTGAGTCATATGGCAAGTAGCCCCGGGCATGCTGTCTCACTGGTGACCTGCTGTAAGGGGTGCGAGACCGAGAGTAATATCTATGCCGACTGTAGTCAGGAGAGTATGATCTCCTCCTCCTGTAGTGTGGAGAGTATGACCTGCTCCTGCTTCGATCTGATGAATGAGGTGACTGGCTACAGCTCCTCCGATAAGGTGAGTAGGTAGGAGATCTACGAGGAGGTGAATAACTAGGAGTTCGTCGACGCACTAGAGCAAAATAACAGAAAATTAGAGGCCAAAAACAAGGTACGTAAATGCAAACAAGGTCTTTAAAATCAACTTACCACGAATTGTTCGCAGCCCAAGATACCTTCCAGGAGTAGGAGTTCGCCCTCTCCGCCTTCTAGCCTAAAATTAATGAAGACATGGAATGTGATCATGGAAATACCGACATACTGAGATGCAGCTAGTTGAAATCAATAATATTGGCTAAAACAAATATTGGCAACCAGGAAAGGGAAATAACACAATATTTTAATTTGTAGAGAGAGAAATGCAGGGCATACAACCCCAATGATCTGATACTTGTTGTTGTATTTGATTTGTTTGTTAAGTTGTTGTTTGGAATTTGATGAAGAGCTGCTTCACACAGCTAACCTGCTGCCACAAACACTTCAAGTGGAAAGAAGCAAACAACTTTCAAACTCAAAAAACTAAACAAATCATCTAGAATCCTGACACAATGCTGTAACATAGTGCAGTATCAAATAACATAGATTAAACAAAGTGAAGCTTCATCAATCATCAACAGTTAAAAGAAGGAACATTTACCCTCTCCACTGTAATGACACGGCCTTCAAGTACAGAGCGATCTAAATACTTAATACAGCGGTCAGCCTCATCAACATTTTCCATTGTAACAAACCCAAATCCACGAGATTCTCTTGTCCATGGATCAACCACAAGATGTACATCAATGACCTAGAAACCAATTAAACCGTGAGACCAAGGGACATATTCACAATTAAAGTCATTGCGACCCTATGAAATATAATGCACATCAAACTACACGGAACCAGTCAAACAAACACACAATAATTAGCAAATGAAAATAATAATAATAATAATAATAATAATAATAATAATAATAATAATAATAGGAAGAGGCCATCCTACTTTTCCTTCAGATGCAAAGTGCTTCTCGAGTTCTCTCTTTGTAATCCGAGGTGACAATCCAGTCACATACAAATTGTTCCCAGGATTCTCAACTGATGGGCTTCTGCAAGCCAAAATGCATAATCAGAATACATCCACAAAGTAAAAAAGATTCAATAAATTGGGCCCAATAAGAAGCAGCTTTGTTAAAAGCACAACCTTGACCTTGACCTCGACCTCGAAACAGACCTCGAAAGGGACCTACTGTATCGTTTCGGGGAAGGAGAGTAGGAATACCTGCGAAAGAAAATGCAATTTAACAAGTCCAAAATGAATTACTACAATCAACATGGCCAATAATCAACAACACAACAGGAGAACAAAAAAAGGAGTCTTTCCGAAACAAAAACCCACCTTGACCTTCTGGAGTACGACATCTGTAACAGAACAAGAACAACAAAACAAACCCAGATTCGTATTAGAAATAACACGTACAAGAACAAAAGGAAAAAAATCTAAGAGAATAAATTTACGCATAAAAAATTCCAACTCTTGCAACCATAATTAACATAACCAGAGTGTATGATAATTTTGTTGCTACTGTCAATTGCTCGTTCAGCTTAATCATAAACAAACAATCAAAATAAAACTCTGATTTTTAAACCCGATTAGGACTTCACATGCGCCATTTGTTTAGAAATATTTCGAGCAAAAAAGATACACAAAGCACACTGAAGAACGAGCATGAACGCTTACCTTAGCGATCGGTGGCAGAAGAAAATCACTTTCGCTTTTGAAACTGAAGACCAATCTCTCTCTCGCTCTGTACGAATCGCTGTGTCTTGAACGTGAGGACTGTGGAATGGCGAGAGATTTATATAGGCAGGAACGTAGGAGAAGTTTCTGGAGCACCGGACGCCAAACCACATTTAAAATTTCGATTTAATTTTCTGTGGTTCTTTTTTTTTTTTTTTTTTTTTTTTCTAATCAAACAAGTCCTCTACGGCACCAACTGATGCCACGTGGTGGCGCGAGAATGTTTTGGTAAAACGGTCTTCTTTATTTTTTGGGCCGTTCGGTAAAATGTCTTTAAAGGGTAATATCCACATGAAGGACGACATTTTCATTTCTCTAATTCATATTGATCATTATCAATTCATTTGAATTATAACATGTGGTAATCTAAATTTTTATTTTAAAAATAAAATATTATTGTGTTTTATATGAAATTTTAGTTTAGTCACAAATTTTTTTTTTTGGTGAACTCGAGGGAAAAACCCCAAACAAACAAAACAAACTAACCAACACAAATAAATTGGGCCTAGTCACGATTTTTTTTTTAATTGGACACTATATTACTCAAATTTACAATGAATACATTTTTGTCATTAACTTTCATATGAAATTCCAATTTGGTACTAAATAAAAAATTAAATCAAAAGTCATGCAAATGCTAAATGTTATGCTCTTTTGTGTAAAATTTAGTGACCAAATTGAACTTTCATGTACAATTCAGTGACATAGTGACTAATTTGACTAATTTTTATTTTATTTTAATGATCATATTAAAATTTCATGTAAAGTTCAATGACAAACAATTTTACGTGATGTGAGGTGCAATACAATATTACGAGCTAGAAGATCGTATATTTAGATTGGAATTACAAATTGGCAAAAGTAAAGTTGGGTTGCAATAGTAAACAGTTGGGTCCAAATAGATTGGACATTCAACAAAGTATAAACCGAAGCAAAAACAGGTGACGTACCATTGAAGATTTGAACCTGTTTCCCTATTTGAAATAGAAAGTGAGCTAAAGCAAAGCAAATTTGAAGTTGGGAATTAAACAGAGCCACCGACTGGTTCATCACAAAATCCCAATTGATGCTAACCAAAGGCAGAGTGAAGTGGTGATAGTGACGGCACCCAAAACCCGCGCATCAAACCCCCTTCGGAATCAGAACCAGAAGCAGAGTGCTTTGAACCCCAAAAACACTCAAAACCCTGGAGCCCCAAAAATGGATCCGATTGTTGCAGCAAATGGGCTCTCGTTCCGAGTCGGGTTCTCCGGCCACAGTGGCCACCTCAGGCTCGAGCCTCTTTCTACCGACGAGAGCTCCAACCCCGTTAATTCACTCCCTGATTTCGTTCTGGTCAGTCTTCTTTCCCACTTCTAGCAATTCCGCTGCAAATTTTCTTCCGCTTCTAGGGTTTGGCTTAGTTCTAATTTTGCTTTCTGGTTTTTTCTTTTACTTGTGTATTTGCTTAATTGGATACCATTATGCATGCGTAATGGGTTTTAGTATAAGTGCATTTGGAAGCTGAATTGTATTGTAGAGGGTGTCGAATTGAATCCATAATTCGCAACCATACAAAACTGGTTTCCGAAACAGGAGATTAGGAGAATGTTTCCAATTTGCCAAACGAGACTGCCAAGCCAACTCAATTCCAGCATTAATATATGCTTGTTTTTTGTGTTTCAGCCGCCGGCATTTGCTAGGGAAACGCCTGAATCAATAAAAGAGTATATAGAGGACACATATCTCTCGCCAAGATTGGACCCTGAAGTATTTTCGCCGGAAAAGGTCGGGAGGCAGTGGGATTTTGACTGGTTTGATAAGGCAAATGTACCCTTGGAGCCATCATTGCCGCGTACAGTTGTGGTTCCCACATGGGAATTACCATTTAGGGGCCAAAATGATAGGTCGGTGGGAGGTCAATGGGAACCTAAATCCGTGCAGGTATGGGGTTCACTCAATGTTTGTGTTTACCCACAGAGTTAGTTTTGCAGGGGAAATCAAAACCGCAATGTGGTCATATAATTTAATTATGGATCTAAATCTTATTGGAATCTAAGTCGCCTGGATTTATTTTTTTCTTTTGGGAATTTGGCAGTATTTGAGTGATACATTTGTTACCCTTTTGCTTCTAAATGTGGCCCATAGTTTTCTTATTATTTTATTTTAGGTGGATGTATCAGAACTTACAGTAGGAGCTCAAGAGTCTGGTTCCTTGCCACGCGTGGCTGGACCAGCGAAGGATTTTGTACGGGGAAGTATCAACAACCGCCCTTTTCGCCCAGGAGGCTTGGATGATTCCAAATCTCTAGAAAGAGTTCTTCCTGATGGTGCTTCTAATGGCGAGTGGGTTCACGAACTTCTGATTGGTGGCTCTGCTCAGGCTGTACCTCCAAGCTTTAAGCAAGGATTGGACCTTGGTGATCTCAAGGTTAATTTAACTGTCATTTGGATTGAAAGTTGTAAAATTGAGTATTATAGAAAACATAATATTGATAGAAGAGCTTTTTTGGAAGGCCTATCCATGCTCGTGGAATGTATATAAGGATCAAAGTTCACTGAAGAGTACGTCAGATGAAAAGGTGGTCAGTTTTGCTTTTCCGTGCTTCTCTCTCTCTCTCTCTCTCTCTCTAGTAATCTTTACCTATAAAATCTGTTTTGGTTACTAGATTATTTTAGATTTTGTTAACTGCAATGCCATTCCCCCCTTCCAACCTCAAACTAATCAACCTAAAACAAACAATTCAAACGCTTTTAGGTTGTTATCATGTTATCAAATTTTCTACTTATCCCTCATGTTCTCATGTGTTTCTTTTCTTACATTTATAATTTTTATTGGAATTTAGTGGTTACTCATTAAGTAAATTATGAGTTTAAAAACTCAGTGGTTCCTGCTATATATTTGTTTATGTGTAAGCTCAGTTAGGTGTGCCAGTAGAATCTTTTCTAGATTACAATTATCTCTTATCTTAAGTTGGCGAATGCTATTTTTATTTTTATGTATTTTTAGGATTTGCAGAGTGAGTTGTCTGTGCAGTTTGATGACTTGTTCAAGAAGGCCTGGGAAGAGGATATTGTTGAATTTGAAGGAGATGGTATGTATAATCTGCAATTGTGGTACAATTCGTAATTACATCTGTTTATTATTTTAGGATCTTATGGGTTAACAGCTATAAATAAATTCATGCTTGGGCTTTTGAAATCGGGTAGAGATAAGCAGAGTTAAAATTGTTGCCTTCGAATGAGCTCTGGTTGACTTGGCTCTATTAGGTTGAGATTGCTTGAAGTTTGTTCTCAACTAAAATTGCAACTAAATTATCAAGTTAGTTCAGTAAATTCAAGTAGATAGAGTATATTTATCCAGAACTGTGATACATTCCATGATTATGTATGGACACTGGATTGCAGCTTCTAATGTCTGCAGGGTTGATGAACCATGCATCTGTAATAAGTCTTGTGGTGAATACTTAGCTCTTTTCCTCCCTTCTCAAGCATTCACCATCAAAAATAGATTTGCATATTAACTGGGATTATGTTTGATGATGAATAAGAGTGATTGTGTTGTAAAGTTGAATGTATAATAAGGATAAGAAGCTTATTTTGTTTTTAACTATTCAAGAGTAACTTTGAACTAAGGACTAAATTCTTTGAGCAGTCTATTAATTCTTGTTGCGTTCTTTATTTTTTGGGCTAATGTGGATGCCATCCACGAAGGTCAATTGTCAGGATCAGAATCTGTTAAGTCAGAGGACGAAGCAAATGAGGTTGATGTTGCCAGAAATTCGTGCGAGCCTGAGTTATCTGTGTTAGATGAGATTTTGTCAGTTGAGGCAAAGTCAAGATTCAATGAAACTGATGATGATGGTGAAAAAAACCCAGAGGTAATTATTTGTAAAGTAGCAGTTTACAGAAACTCTGATATTTGAACATATTTGATGCTTTGCACTGAACCTTGCTCACTGCTTTATTTTTATTTTTTAACTAGCTCACCATTGGCAGGCTTGGGCTATTAGTGGAGGTACAGAATGGATTGCAGAGAATTTTCAAGATCTTATTCCTGACAAGGCACTTGATTTTCCTTTTGAATTGGATAAATTCCAGAAGGAGGTATCGGTCAATCGAAACCCTCTTCTACAATGTTTCCATTAGTAGATTGATTTTTATTTTTATTTTCTGGGCCAACATGAGTTGATTGATTAGATCTTTACTCAGTGATTTGTTCAGAGAGGTAAAACTCTGACATATATTTTGACTTTAAATTTCTATGCATGGCTTTCCTTGGTTTGTAGTTTGGCTCATGTCCCTTTCACTGATATGATTCAGTAACAATGATGGAAAAAAATATAAATAGTTGATGTACAAACATGAACATTACACTCGCCATATATTTCAAATGTGGGACATTGGACATGTCCCAAGACATTGGTTGCTTTGACTGCGCAATGATGTCAGCATGGTTAAGTGTGCTGTACATTATTGTAATGTAGAGAACAGGACTATATATGTGCATGTTGTTGGGTGGGTTATATCGTTAGTGCTCTTGCGAAGGTTAAAAATTTAACAGTTGTGTAGATTCTCAGATACATTATCCTCATTTTCACCATTAGCACCAGAGAGGGTTGCCTTAACATCTTTATCTCTTCTTTACAGCATCTAGATATCATGATAACTGTCATTAGAATTTTCATGTCACAGTAAATTGTGGGATTTCGTCAACAACAAAAAATTATACGTAGAAATCCTTCATGAGCAAATAGTTTTGCTACTTTTCTTTCACTGTTGTAGTGTATAAAGTTTTTTATATTTATTATCTTAAAGAGTGGCTTCGAAAATTCTGTTTTTTTATACCCAAATAACCTTTCCTTTGTGATATGTTTACAGGCTATTTATTATCTTGAAAAGGGGGACTCTGTCTTTGTTGCTGCTCACACATCAGCTGGAAAGACAGTTGTTGCAGAATATGCATTTGCTTTAGCATCAAAAGTACAGCCTAAATTCTTAAGCTCGTGGTTCTTTTTACTTTTTTATAATTGATTATTTGTTAATTAAATCCCTTATGTTAATGTTGGGCAGCATTGCACCAGAGCTGTGTATACTGCTCCCATTAAAACCATCAGCAATCAAAAGTACAGAGATTTCTGTGGAAAATTTGATGTTGGACTTCTCACTGGTGATGTTAGCTTGAGGCCAGAGGCATCTTGTCTTATTATGACCACAGAAATCTTAAGGTCAATGCTTTATCGCGGTGCAGACATAATACGTGATATTGAATGGGTAAAGGGGCTCGTTTTCTGTGATAATCTTTTGAACAGTAATTTTCCTCCTTTTATAGGTTAATTTCTTCATTGTATTTCATTGCCCAGTTTCCATTTTTTTTCCTCAGTAAATAAAATATTTTTGTTACTCTTTCTGCATGTGAGAGAATATAGGTTATCTTTGATGAGGTGCACTATGTCAATGATGTCGAAAGAGGTGTTGTTTGGGAAGAAGTTATTATAATGCTTCCAAGACACATCAATATTGTCCTCCTTTCAGCTACGGTATTTCCTTTTTCCTATATTATTCACAATCTCAATCTGAAACAAATAATGCAAATATGAATTATGATTATTTATCTGTTCTATCCAAAAGTATATAGATTTAAATTTGTTGATTACTTTAGTGTTTTCTTTGACTGACTAAGTTATAGATTAGGTCTTTTAGGAAATAGAGCAAAGAGTTTCGACCAAATAATCTGAGTGATGATTCCAGCTGCAAGATTGGTATTTTTGTGTCAGAAGATGCTAAGCAACCTGTATTTTCCATGCAAGTATAAAAGCACTGTCCATTATCTTTGTTGTTTTATGATGTTATATTGCCCGGGCTATGGAATTTGTATGTCATTGTATCTAGTACCTACCTACTATCGAAACTTTGGTAGCAGGTGGAATAACTAGTTTACCTTGCCTTGGGACCTGCTCTGTTGTCTATATCTTTTAAAAGCCCTCCTTGAAAACAATGGCATAACTGTTCTATTACTTCTCAGCTTCTGTAAAGATACTTGTGCATTCGATATGTGGGCAGTTGGTCTTTGTTTTCCCCTGCCCCTTCATTTTTATTTTTTGTTTGCAGCGGCAGATGCATTGCATTACATGTTAATTGTAAATTTGTAGGTACCAAACAAAGTGGAGTTCGCTGACTGGATTGGACGGACAAAGCAAAAGAAAATCCGTGTTACTGGGTAAGCATGAATCTGTGTGGCATATGGATTTAACTATTTTTTGTTCTTTTGAGTCAATTCAAATCAATTAAAACTATCTTGATTTGTTTTTATCACTGCTTACTCTTCATTCTTCTAAGAATGTGGCAGAAAGGGAGTTTGTAATGCTTTGTTGTCAACTTTTTTACATTATTTTCATATTTAAGGGTATAATTTTGATATCAGGACTACAAAAAGACCAGTCCCATTGGAGCACTGCCTATTTTACTCCGGAGAACTTTACAAAATATGTGAAAGTGAAAGCTTTATTCCCCAGGGGTTCAAAGCTGCAAAAGATGCATTCAAGAAAAAGAATATGAGTGCTGCCACTGGTGGTAGTGGATCACATGCTCCAGCTCCAGCTTCTCATGATGGGGCTCGAACTCAAAAACAAAGTTCTAACTGGGGAAAACAAAAGAGGCAATCTGGTCTCCAAAATTCGGGGAATTTCTCCAAAGCTGGTGGAGCAAATCAAAACAATGGAAATGGCATGAACAATTGGGGTTTAAGGAGATCAGATGCCTCTTTGTGGTTGTCACTTATTAACAAGCTCTCGAAGAAGTCTCTGTTACCTGTATGTTTGAATATAATTCCTTATTGTGCATATCTCTCGCTTTAAATTTATTTGGTTCTAGTAATTTATGGAAATAATACAACTCCCTACGACAATTAATTGTGCAGTGTTTTTTTTTTCTTTTATTTCTTTTATGAAATAAAATAGAAATGAAAAGGGAAAAAATATTAAATTTTAGATTGTCTACTGAAATTGAGAAATAAATTTAGACAAATAAGAGGAAGCCACCACCAAATGTGTTTTCTTGGTCGTTGTCATAGTTAACAGGGAAAATAACTGTCTCCTCCATGTTTTGAGTTCAAGTACCTATGGAACTGTTGTTAATTGTCTGTGCAAAGAGTAGAAGTTCGGCTCATATTTCGGAACCAGAGAGTTGTTGCTTTATCTTGTAAATGTCTGTGTTAGTATTACATTCTCTTGTAATAATTCTGTAATCTTGATCTCAATTCCTTGACTTGTCTGCCTAGGTTGTTATATTTTGTTTCTCAAAGAATCGCTGTGATAAGTCAGCTGATAGTATGTATGGGATTGACCTCACAAGTAGTTCTGAGAAAAGTGAGATTCGTGTGTTCTGTGACAAAGCATTTTCGCGGCTAAAGGGATCTGACAGGACTTTACCACAGGTTCGGTCACATGCTAATTATTTCTTTTTAATTAACAAAATAACTTTGGGCCTTAGACATAATATGATTTGATGTACAGGTTGTCAGAGTTCAAAACCTTCTTCATAGAGGGATTGGTGTCCATCATGCTGGACTGCTTCCAATTGTTAAGGAAGTTGTTGAAATGCTTTTTTGTCGTGGTGTAATCAAGGTAATTTACTTCTGGGTTATTTCTGTGTCATGACATTCATATTTTGTTTTTCAAAATGACCCTCCAGTTACCGTTGATGATCTTTAGATGTTAACAGTGACATTGCAAATAGTTTGCATATATTTGTGTTAATAATCATCATAGTTAAATTTTCTCTGTTATTTTCACAAGTCATCGAGTTCTAATGGTCATTTTAGAATTTAGATCTAATAACTTTTTAGTGATCATCTCTGTTATTTTGTAGGTTTTGTTCTCAACAGAGACATTTGCAATGGGAGTCAATGCACCAGCTAGAACGGTGAGTTTTGTTGGGCAGTTTTTCCAAAATTGAAGTATAATTTCCGCTACAATATCTAGAATTTGGTGGTTTTCTTTATTTGGTACATATTTCAGAATTCTTTTGTTGCATTAGTTTCCTACTGTTAAATTTTCAATTGATTAACATCGACCAGTCTTGCAAAACTATAAAAAGAAAAAAGTCCTACTAACTAGTTCTGATGGTACAAGTGTCTGTAAATTTGTTGATTGAATAATTTATTTCCTTAATTTGAAGCTGCACATGTTAGAGCTTCTATTTTGACATCTTATAATGCAGTCACGTGGAAGAGCTCCTTTAGTTTGATTCTGCCATTGAATTGATTTGGTTGATGGTTTTGACTTCAAACTTGAGTTTTATGTTTCATTACTTCACTAGAATGAGAAACGGCATGGCCTATGACCCCTAAACATATTATAAATTTCTGCAAATTCACTTCACATCCTGTACTAGTTGTGGTTTGTTTGTATTGATGAAATTCAGTATTGAAAAATATTTCAAATTTGCCACTAAAATATCTTATAAATTAACAGATGTGTTACTGACAGCCAACAAGGCATCTTCTTACCTGTTTGCTATTCTTTAGTTGCACATACAACATTGCTATCTTAACTTCTAACTTTCGTCAATATTTTTTGCAGGTTGTTTTTGATACGTTAAGGAAATTTGATGGCAAGGAATTTAGACAATTACTGCCAGGAGAATACACTCAAATGGCAGGCCGTGCAGGCCGAAGAGGACTTGATAAAATTGGTACAGTTATTGTAATGTGCCGTGATGAAATCCTAGAAGAAAGAGATTTAAAGCATGTCATAGTTGGAAGTGCAACCAGGCTTGAATCTCAGTTTCGGCTTACCTATATTATGATCTTGCATCTCCTTCGTGTTGAGGAACTGAAGGTGCCTACTTACTTCAGTTCAACTCCGTTCATATAAATAGGGGAAAAGAAAATAGATTGCAGATCAATAATTTTCAAAAATTGAAGTCCGTGTCCAAATTGTAGGAGCTAAAAATAAAACTGACATCTTTATACATGTTGATTTGGATAAATACATACTGTTCATCCATAACATCTTTACTTTTGTGGGGAGCTAAACAAATTAAAATACAATCCTTTTCGGGGTAGATTAATATTTGGTTGAGGCTCACTAGAAGAAGTAACAAAACCCTTGGGCGTTTCTGAGGCTGCATTTATAATGACCATCTTGGGTCCATGGAGTGATGGAATGTCTTCTGCATCTTAACCTCATTGTCACAGTATTCTATCAACAAAGGCTAATTTTAGAGTAAAAGTATATTTGTTTTTCAAAACGAAAAATTATATTGGTTGTTCCTTTTAATTAATTCTGTGTTTGTGAAAAATACAAGTATACTTTTCATATCATAAGTACAAGTTGAGGTTTTAGCTCTGCAGTTTTAGTGAGTGCATTGGGACTGTCACTGCAGGTGGAGGACATGCTGAAAAGAAGTTTTGCTGAATTCCATGCTCAGAAGAAACTACCAGAACAGCAGCAACTTCTGATGCGAAAGCTTGCACAACCTACAAAAGCTATTGAGTAGGTCAATGGCAGAGTCATGATTATTACTTATCTGTATAATATGTCAGGACACATGTTATATGCTACGTGATATATTCAATCCAGTGGTAACCTACTAAATGTGGCTATAGCTCTTTGTTAGGCATGCAGGCTTTAAAACTTTTAAAGACTGTTAACCAAGTGCTACATAAAAATAGTTGTGTTTGAATCATGCCGATTTTAGCTTACACTCGTATATCATTATCTCATTATGAGGATATTGCTGCTATCAGTGCGTATTCATCTAACAATAGCATTTGTGGCCTTGTAAATTGTAATAGCATATTAGCATTTTTGAACGATATAAAAAATTGATTTTTTTTTTCTTTTAAGCAATTGACGATGGGCTGTCCTTGTTTATCAGTTCAGTTGATGTATAAGGTCTATGCATCTCTATGATAATCATTAATTGTCAAAGCATCATCTAAGACACTTTAGTAAATGGAAGTTATTACTTGTTAGATGCTGCAATTCTATTTTTGATGTTATGTTTTGCCTTTCATCAAATATGCTGGAATTCTATTTTTGATGCTGCATGACTATTTGCATGTAGATGTATAAAAGGTGAACCAGCTATTGAGGAGTATTATGACATGGAATCAGAAGCTGAGACATATAACACGGAAATATCGGAGGCAGTTATGCAGTCCTCTGTTGCCCAAAAATTTCTTACAGCTGGGAGAGTGGTAGTCATGAAATCACAATCAGTAAGTCCCTTACATAGTTTACACATTAAGTCCAGTCATATCCTAAATTGTTGGTTTATTTATTTCCCTACTTTTTCCTCCCTCAGGATCAAATTGTAGTATTATTCTTCTGATTATTGTTCTGTGCTAATAGGAATGATTGCTTTCCTGCATGACTATGGGTGATTCTTTTATTTTACATGATATGTAGAGATACTCGTAATATGTGGGCATCTGATGTCTACCCATTGAAAAAAAGGAAAAAAAAAAGAAAAAAGAATGATGTCCTCTGATGGTGGGTTGATTATTAATGTGTTAAGAAAAAATGAAATATTGTAATTTGAATAAGACTTGGACTTTAATATTTTATATTTCTTGGTGATAATTTACCCTGACTTCAAACAAATCACCCAATTTAATTCCCTTAAACATCCCAAAGCTGGAGTCTTCAATGACAACTTCTGTGCAAAAATCAGGAGACATGATCCTACAGCCTGCATGGAAGATCGTCATAAATTGTAATCGGAGTATTATTCCATAGCTTAAGCCTAGAGAACAAAATGGTAACCAATTTTAATAAATAAATAACTCAGAACTCATCATTTTTACAATGGAAATGAAATGATTGATAACAGAAAAGGCAAGTTTTAGAAACTTAGAGGGTTAATCGAGATATTTCTCTGTGACATCTCACTCTCCCTCCCTTCACCCTTGAAACTGAAGTTAAAGGGAGTCCTTGTTCCCCAGTGATATGTTTGATTGGTGCTGATTTGGTAGTTTATAGTCCTCACATAAGCATGATATGTTGGTATCTGCATCTACCGTGGTGTCTCTTTCTCATATTTTACAAGTAGACTCTTCCATTTTTTTCATTGATATTGTATCTGGTTCTTTGTTAGAGTAGTTGAGGGTATGCTAAATGTGTATCATGCCTTACCAACAGGCCCGGGACCACTTGCTTGGAGTTGTTGTGAAAGCTCCTTCTTCTAGTAATAAGCAATACATTGTTTTAGTGCTGAAACCTGAATTACAAACTCCCCTGGCTAGTGGTAACTTGCAAGATAGTAAAAACACCGATTTTCCACAAGGTTATTTCATGGCACCAAAATCTAAACGTGCTATTGAAGAAGATTATTTTTCTGGCGTCACTTCTCGTAAAGGATCGGGTGTCATCAACATAAAATTACCACACCAGGGTTCTGCTGCTGGGGTAAGGTTTGAGGTTAGAGAAGTTGATAACAAGGATTTTTTATGCATATGCAATTGCAAGATAAAGATTGACCAAGTTCGGCTTCTTGAAGACGGTAGCAGTCCTGCTTACTTCAGGACAGTTCAACAGCTGTTGGACACAAAATCCAATGGAAATAAGTACCCTCCAGCCTTAGATCCAATAAAAGGTATATCTATTTGTCAGTCTAAATTAAACATAAAAGGTTTTGGGAAATTAAAGGCCAGTTGTATCATTATAAATTATTTTCATCATAGATTAATATACACTTAATTGCAACTATATAGAGTTGTGATGCTTTCATTCTGTGGATGCTTTTATTATACCGTTGGAAATCTGAGCTCCCAACTTTCCACTCCTTGATTCGATATTCATTTGTCCCATTTACTTTCTCTTTTCTGTTCGATTATTTCTGTTAGGTTCAAGAATTCTATTGTTGATAAAGCATACTAACTTAATAACTTCTATGGGCACTTTACTTGTTATAATGTGGATCAATTGAGAATTATAGAGTTTAACTCACTCTTTAAGCTGACCTTCATAGTGGTGACTCTGGTTCAGATCTGAAGTTGAGAGATGTGAATCTTGTGGAAACATACTACAAGTGGAATAACTTATTGCAAAAGATGGCAAAGAATAATTGCCATGGTTGTACAAAGTTGGAGGAGCACATTATTTTAGCAAGAGAGATAAAGAGACACAAAGAGGAAGTTAACGCTCTAAAGTATGAAATGTCAGATGAAGCGCTGCAACAAATGCCAGATTTTCAAGGCCGGGTACATGTCCATTATATGCATGTGTTTTTCTAAGTTTCTGTGGCTTAATACTTATGATTCCTCTTGGTATTTTAATTGTATATTTTCAGATAGATGTTCTGAAGGAAATTGGATGTATAGATGCCGACCTTGTTGTTCAAATAAAAGGTCGTGTTGCATGCGAAATGAATTCAGGGGAGGAGTTGATTTGCACAGAGTGTTTGTTTGAGAACCAACTGGATGACCTGGAACCAGAAGAAGCTGTGGCATTAATGTCTGCCTTTGTGTTTCAGCAGAAGAATACTTCCGAACCTTCTCTTACTCCAAAACTGTCTCAGGCGAAACAAAGGTTCTCTCCCATCTTCTGCGTAGTACAAATTTTTCTTCTGTGCCAAATTCCATACTTAAATATCTTTTTTAATACAAAATATGTGCATAGGATTTAGGTAGTATACTTTATGTTTACACTTAAGAGTCTACAATCAACCACTAGGTCTGGCCCTATTAGTCCATCAGACTATGTTACCTAGAATTTTTACTTCTCAGTGTCTCCTGGGTCCCTGGCACAGATTAATCAAATACTTTGCCTACATCCATGCATATCCAGAATTGTCATTAAAAAAATTTGTTCTGTATTATCATCCTCCTAGTTTAATTATACACTCGGACAAAGTGAGAAAAAGATTATAATAAGAAATCTGATTTCCTTGCCAGAATAAACTCATTTCAGATATTTATCATTTCAGATTGTACAACACAGCAATAAGACTGGGCGAGCTTCAAGGCCACTTCAAAGTTCAAATAAATCCGGAGGAGTATGCCCGAGAGAATCTCAAGTTTGGTCTTGTTGAAGTCGTTTATGAGTGGGCCAAGGTATTCATCTTATAATTTCATGAATTTTACCTATGATTTTTGAAGTGGTTGGTCTTACATGCCCTTATAATTGCAGGGCACTCCATTTGCAGATATTTGTGAACTTACAGATGTTCCTGAAGGCATGATAGTGCGGACCATTGTCAGACTTGATGAGACGTGCCGTGAATTCAAAAATGCTGCATCTATTATGGGTAATTCTGCTCTGTACAAGAAAATGGAAACCGCTTCAAATGCAATAAAGCGTGATATTGTATTTGCGGCCAGCTTATACGTCACCGGAGTTTAACTAGCAACTTGAAGTTGAAGGTACACCTTTCCAGTTCATCCTTGTGAGTACTGAAAGGGCGGATCTGGAGAAGCATACACAGCCGTTTATTTTGATTTATATTGATTTACGCCCTGTTCCTTATGCCCAATTGCAACCAAAGTTCTCAATGTTTTCACATTTTTAACAGACGAGGAAGCTAGCTAACCAACGAGGTTTTTATAATTTTTTTTTCGACCTCATTTGCTAACTAGGGCACAAATTGTGATCCAAAAGAAAATGTTGTGCAGTTGGGGATCTTCGTATCTTCTATTTTGTCTGATACTAGGTATCTAGCTAGTGCCGAACCAAGCTATTATCCAGGGTACAATTTTTCCTTGGTTAATCAAACTCAAGCAAAAGGGATTTAAACCCATAAGCTAATTCTCCACCCGAGGAAGAGGAAATCCAATCCGAGAGTACCATTTCCTTGGTGAATCAAACCAACAATATATATATATATATATATATACAAAGAGCTTCTATTGAGGGATTCCTCAAATAAGCTTATTTGAGGGACACCCTTTGTAGGGCTCACTATGGATTGTATTTCACTAATCCAAACAGTCTATTTTGTAGATACTCATTCAAAGATCATTTCTACAAGAAGTCACATGAATCCAATATCATTTGATGACTCAATTGAGTTCTTGAAGCATTGTGTTCATTGATTTTGTAGGATATAATTGGATGTCAAAATGGTTTCTGATTTGTCTAGTTTTTTGTAAGGATGATCTATGAATATAGACTTAAAAAATAGATTGTTTGGATCGTTGAAAAAAAAATCGTAGAGTACCCTAAAGGGTGTCTCTCAAATAAAATTATTTGAGAGATCCCTCAATATAAGAGGATTGATATATATATATATAATGGTTTCTGATTTGTCTAGTTTTTTGTAAGGATGATCTATGAATATAGACTTAAAAAATAGATTGTTTGGATCGTTGAAAAAAAAATCGTAGAGTACCCTAAAGGGTGTCTCTCAAATAAAATTATTTGAGAGATCCCTCAATATAAGAGGATTGATATATATATATATATATGTGTGTGTGTGTGTGTGTGTCTCTCTCTCTCTCTTCCAACAAAATGACTGAGACAATGAAATAATTCTCTTCACTCTTGATAGAGCATAGAAGCAAAACAATGATTAGGAATACTTTATTGGCCCTTGCTACATTTAGAACCTTATTTAAGAGTCACAATAATATGCAGACAACAATTTACACTCCCTCCTAATTCTCACTCTTGCCTGGCTTGCCTGAAGGAAGTGGTGCCTGGAACAAGAAGAGTCACATAATTAAATTAATTAGATTAGCATAAATGCAACATTAAATTAAAACAAGAGCTGTGGCTAGGGTTAATTACTGAATCAGCAGCATCTGGGATCCAGTCATTGGTTGCTGGGTTACACTGGCAAGAGGCATGGCAGTCAATGTTGGTATCAGGTGCCAGGTTGTAATTTTTGTCACTTTTGTTGGGTACTTTGATAAACCCTGTTCCTGTTGTGTGGTGCTGCTTGTCAACACAATTCAGATCCTTATAGTAATCTGTTTCCACAAACTCCTCCCCAACCTCACTTCTATTCACAACTATTTTCTGCTTCAAATCCAAAGAAAAAAAGTGAAAGAGAGGAAAGAAAAACAATAGACAAAATTTTAAGCAAGGAACTAGAAATAAATAGTGTAAATGAAGATATCAACAAGGCGTTTGTAGTCCAACGGTTAGGATAATTGCCTTCCAAGCAATAGACCCGGGTTCGACTCCCGGCAGACGCAAATTATTTTTATTTTTATTTTATTTCTAGAAAATCTACTAAAACACCAGTGAAAATCAATTTCCCTATTTTTATTTGGTAAAAAACAAACAAACAAACAAATCAATGGAAACCAACCTCAGTATCATTTTCCAGACGTTGAAACTCAACAAGTTCAGGAATTTCTGAGTCTTCATTAGGGTTAGAGAGAGAATCGACGTATTGAGATGATGTGTATTCGCTACGTTGAGGCTTAGTGTGACGTTTGGGAGTGACTCCATCGAAGTATTCTCTTGTCTTTGACTCTATCTCTGCCTCTTCTTCATTTGACAAATGAACGTCACTCCTGTTTGGCCTCCCACAGCACGCCATTTTTCTTCTTCTTCTTCTTTCTTTTTTCGGTTCTCTTCCTTTGTATACTTTCCTCATGCAAAACTGGTGTTTATATATATGACTAGAGTAGAGGGGATGGTTTGGTGGAAGAAGTAGATATTTTTGCTTGCATTATTATCTTGATGAAATTGATGTGTGGGAAATTTTGGAACCCAAAACCAAAAGGTATCTTTTTGAAGAGAAAATATCTCAGTGATCTTATCTTTTTGTCTGCTTACACGGCATTGTTAGGTGGCTCAAGTTTGGCTTTTTCTTCAGTTGCTATCTAGATCTTGATTATTTGAGGCCCCATTTTCTTTCGTTTTAGACAATTCTGCCACTTGCCTGACCTCTTCATCTGTTTATCATATTGACATTGGGGGGTACTTGGTTTTGACACAATAGTAACACTTTCAAGGTTCAAACTATATATATATATATATATATATGTTCAAACTATATATATATATATATGTTCAAACTATATATATATATATAGAGAGAGAGAGAGGGAGAGGAGATATGTGGTCGAAACACTTTGAACAAGTTTTATGGTGCAAGGATAATGTGACACACTTGACTAGTTTGATGAAAACAATTGGCTTATGAAGCTTATAGCGCATAAACGATTTAAGGAAATTTTTTAGTTTTACTTTCGAAGACTCGTTTAGATCGTCTTTAATTGAAAAGATATATTCACTTTTTTACAACGCTATGAGATGACAAGATTATGTCTTCATTTGTTGCATATTTATTGACAAAATTTGTGAGGAGTTTGATATTTGAACTCTTATCGTGATACGTTAAATTGTAAAAGTGAGAGTAAGTGTTTCCCATAAAAATTTATGCATTTTTGTCTTCCAATCGCATAAATGGAAGATTGAAATGAAAGAACAGTGTTTTTTGCTTTTTGCCTAGAATCAATCACACCACCACATAACTATTGTTCCTAACTATACATCAATCTATACATGTAGTGAGCTTAATTCATCTACGTGGAAATGCTCTAAGTCATTCGTTTCGGTATAAACATTAGGACATACTGAAAGTCAATAGAAAATGACCTTTCAGAGCCCGAAAAATACATTCAACTTTGGGCCAAACTTTTTGGAATATGTACATCCCTCCAAACACTCATGCCAAAAGTTGGGAGATTTTGGTCAATATCTCCAAGATTATGTTGTGTCCAACTCCTTTTTTTGGATTTGTTTGCGTTTGTCAGTAATTATTAGGAATTTGGAAGCTATTCTTTTGGCTTTTTATGTTGAATTGTGTTAGTCGTTATAAAAAAAAAAAAAAAAAAAAAAAAAAAAAAAAAAAAAAAAGACATTGTGTGTTCTAAAAGTGACTGGTAGCAGGTTTAGACATTTTTCTCCAAGATAAATAATGAGTGCTGCTATTTTTACCTCTTATCTTATTTTCTCATTCATCTTATTTTCCCACAACCCATTATGTATATTTGAAAAAACACAATCCTATCTTTCCAACTCATCATTATTCCTTAAAAACCCTTTAATTATTAATTCAAGCAACTTATCTTTGCTAATCATTAATAGTTGAAATATGGAGAGGATCAAGTTCTGTTTGACAGACTAGATAAATGTTTTAGTTTAATATATTTTAGTTTTTTATTCTCTGCCTTGTAGCTTGAATCATTCTCTTCAACATTCATTCTCTTGTTGTTTTCTTCTTCAGAAACAATTTGATTGAATGAAAGAAGACAGAAGAAAATTGTTTGAGAATTGAGTTCCAAGCACTGAGGAGTCGTACGCTTGTTTCTTTTTTCTTTTTGACAAACGGTAGAATGGGTGGGTTATGTGAGTTGTAGTTTTTTCCCCAAGTCCTTAGAAGTCATTTTACAAAAGGGTAAATTTATATTTATAATTTGAGTAAACGGCCAAATACTCCCCTGAACTATCACGTTTGTCGAAATGTCTACCTTAAATTATTTTTTCAGCCAATTTAGCCATTATATTAAATTTATTCGCCAATGTCACCCATGCCGTTAGTTTTTTCACAATTTCATCCAAATGCCCGTCAAATATAAGGGTAAATTTGACATTTTATAAGTTTTTTTAAATTAAAAAAAAAATATTGAAGAAGATATTGGGGCTTAAAATCGGAAATGATGGGAGTATTGGTGCTAGATGGGGTAAGATCTGCAACAAAATTAAAAATATAAAGTTCCAGCATCATATTTGTTTAGGACATTAGAAGAAATTTGGTGTGACAAATTTAAGTTGATTTATCTTACCACCATTGACACTGAAGAAAATTGCATATCCTCTTTGCCATCTACAGAGTAGCAGCAAGCATGCACAGATTGCTTACAAAACGAGAAACTCAAACAGATTGCATATTTATTAGTTCTCGTAAACTGCTTGCACCGGGCATCACGGTACGAATTGTGTTTTCTTGAATAGGCCGTTCAGTGAGGATGCATCCTGTCCTGGAAAAGCTTGAGCATTTGAATTTTGACTTGGGGGAAGAGTCTTGGGTTTTACGAACCGAGCCACAATTTCCCATCTCTTGAAAAAGAAAAACTCACACTTTTTCTTCACAGAAATTCATCTTCTGTTTGCTGCAGAAACCAGAATCCCCTCTCCTCCCCGATTTATTTCTTCCCCATTCGAGCTCTTTGAAAGAGAAAAAAAATCAAATTTTAACACCCAACCCAGCTGATGCTGTCGCAGGCATCAATTCATGGTTTGTTAATTTCTAAATCCAAAACCCAGAAAGAGGAAGGAGAAGAAATCCCTAAACCCAAATTGATTTGCTTGAGAACATTGCAAATTGGTTTGCTCAGAAAAACATAGCAATGTCCTTGGCAGTGTTGTAGAGGCGGGTATATCTTCAAATCCTCCTTCTCCACCTCCGCTACTGCTCTTTCACTAGAAAAACCGTGCAGACGTGAGATTGCAGAGAGAGGGTCTGGGGGATGGGGGAAGACGTTGATTGCTAGGGTTTTTTTATTTTTTTATTTATTTTTGCTTTTGTAGTTTTTAAAGATTTAATTATTATTTACGGAAAATTGGATGAAACTACATGGAAACTAATGGCATAGGCTAAATTGACCATTTAAAATAGTCTGATGGTTAAATTGGCTGAAAAAATAATTCAAGGTGGACATTTCGACAAGCGTTATAGTTCAGGGGGGTTTTCAGCAGTTTATCCTTATAATTTTGAAGATAAGGTGACTGGGAAAATAACAGCACTCTAAATAATACGCATGTGCATGTGGTCATTGTGGATTTTTCTTGTGGCGAATGGTGTTTTTGAATTTGAATATACAATTCTGTTCGAACACCAAGTCAAGTGTTAACTCAACCCTAATTCCGGTTGAGTGGTACTGTATACTAGCTGACGTAGTGATACAATACCAGTCTATAATTTCTACGAGAGAAGCTAAGAGTTGAGTGTAATGTCTCCATGGCTTTGTTCATGAACTTAATTAGAAGCTAACTAAAGGAGCTCAGAGCTCCGAGTAGAAATACTCACCTTGGACACTTTATTATACATCAAATTGGGAATGAAATCGTACTCTCTTAAATCTAAAAAATGACTACAAGATTAAATCATTTGTGATTTCATTCTACAGAAATGCAATATTCTAGCTATCAGTTTTTCCCATGTGAATTTTTTTACTGACTTGATCGATAGGCTGATGGATTTTAGTTCATGCTTATTCTGATTGTTAAAGTCAGATGGATTATGGAAGAGTTGATTATCAACATTCATAACATGAAAACAATTTCGTGTACAATTTGTACATAACTATTTGTGCAATCATTGTTATAATTGTCCGCTCCTTTTCATGTCACTCATCAAAGATATACACATATAGGAAACTGTCTAGGATTGATTTATAGATCGTTAGGGAAGGAAGAATCAAACACAAACCTCATATGTAGAGGTAACTATTTGAGCTACAACATTTATACTAAAATAATAAACATGAATTAATAGTCGATGACTATTTTGTTAGTATGAAATTTGTATTGTCATTTCCTAGACTCTAGCATAGGTTGGGAGTTAGTGTGTGAATATCGTTTACTAGACGTTTTGGCGCAACACATTCAATCCCAGGTTTCCAAAGCATGACTTGACCGATATGAGGAATCTGATTTCAGGTAAATCATGACATAATCATGCATTCATTATAGGATTCCTAGTTTGAGTTATTTTCACTCAAAGTATTTTTATCTTAATCTTATTTTTAATAGGATTAGATTTTATTTCTTAATATTATTTCCTACTTGTTTGGGCTTATTAATTTGTGAGGTAGATAATGGTTTAGAAGATGGGCTGGAGTAGAAAGTCCTCTCATCGTGCATTAGCTGGCTGGCATGAATCACATGGCATGTAAATTGAATCAAAAGAAATATTCTTGCTTGAATAGTTTGTGTGGTCTTTTGTTTGTTGTTGCTAACTAGTTTTCATATTGCATCAGGTTTTGGGTAGTAGTAGTTGAATAGGATTAAAAGTCTTTGGTGAATGTATTTGGTTGTCACGTAGGTTCTTGAATAAGAGAACCTGTTTTGAATAAAACCTAAGGGTCTTCTTTTCACAAGTGTAGCTTTTTAACGTATTGGTTTTCTTTGGAAATATTGAATCTGTTTTGCAAAAGCTGTTGTGCTTATTTTCTTAGATAAGTCATCAAGTGTTCCTTGTTTACTTGGTGATTTATCAAATCCTTTCTTCATTCATATTGCATACATATGCATGTCGGTGACTCATACGGTTGAGGGCACCAAAACTGTGGTGGCGGTTTTCCTCCCGTGAGCTTGAAGCAATCGTGGCCAGTATTGCGTTTAACATAAGGAGTGTCGAAGATCATCCCGTGAAAGAAGTTGAGTTACGAAGAAGTCGGTAAACATTATCTAGAATGTGTCTAGGATAAGTGTGTGAGTACTTCTTGTAATCATCGTTCTATAGTGGATTTGTGTTGGATTGAGGAGTCCCGTGGATTTTCCTCAGAGGTGGGGTTTTACCACGTAAAA